GTAGTGTGTGTGTGTGTGTAGAGTAATTGTCTTGATACTTAGCAAAGTCGACGTCATTGTTTTTGCTAAGAGACGCTAATTGTATCCGAACGTCTGCGGTCCCTCCGGTGTGTACCGATCACACAAGGATAGAAATTATTTTCATTTATTAATTTTTTTAATAAACGAAAATTTCCACCCAGGTGGGATTCGAACTCACGACCTTTAGGTTTAAAGGCAGGCGCTCTTACCACTGAGCCACAGAGGGGGTGGGAAGGGATGTAATTATATTCTCTGCAATTGTAGTAAAAAATTGATTTATTTTTTCTGGAGTTAGATCAGGTTGTACTGAACTGGATCTGGTATTGTTTCTTTCGAAATTTAACTCTCTCTAGGTTTATTATTGGAATTAGTGGAATTAAAATAAAAACTGTGGGCCCAATAATGATAGTTAAGGGTTAATAAGTTGAAATAACATAAAACGGATTTTTGGGCATGCCCGAAAAATATTATATTTTAAATTAAACTGAATTTCTCCAAAAAAATGCTTGTCGGATTTTACAGGCTCGGTGACGATATGAGGTATCCGCATTCAGATTTATTTGTCCGTTACTGTACTAAACTAACAACTGACAGGTTCGACAATGGAATAACTGAACAATTAAATTTTTTGACGTGACTATATTATATTATTATATACTCAACGTTTTCACCCTTTATGACCTATTTAACATACAACTAATCATCAAAACCAATATCCGCTCTAAGGTTTCCTTTATATTCTTCGATTTTAGTGGTTCCGACAGAGAGAACTCAAATTACCTAGTAGTTCTAATGTTACAGTCTATTTTTAAATATCTTGCAGCTGTGTGTTCTATATTTTAGTGTCTTTGTTTCGTGATTTAAGAGCTCTTTGTGGAAATGTAATTATCAGAACCGAAATAAGATTGTATTAGTCCTTATAAAAACATTGATGTTTTAATTTTAAAATGAAATATGTTATTGAGATACAAATGGGGAAAGGAAAGATTTATACATATTACCACAACAACTATGCTACGTTACACCAATAAAAATGCATATGAGACAATTAAAGATGATATTCTTATCAATAAAAACTTGGTTTTTTTTATCTTTTTTGTGCATTTCGATATGATCGAATATTATTTTGGTGTTAATCAGGGTAATCAGCTTTTTTTGAACAGTCTTTTCAAATGTACAGGGTCTTAAAATTATTACATTAAATAGAATTTTGAGTAATTCGATTTTAGCTTGCTTTATTGCATATTCGATTTCTTCTCGTATAATGTCAGGCCCAGTATCATGTTTAAATTATGCTGGTGCTGCTGTTCTGTCTTGTTTCTTCAAAAATGGGTGCTATATAAATATATTGTGTCCATCTCTGCATTTTCTGGTTTTTATTCTTTATAAGTACACCACTTTTATTTTTTAGTTGTCTAGTTTGAAGTGTTTTTCTCATTTCTGTTAGTTCTCTTCTTTTATGCATGTTAAAAAAGTCATATTTTTTCTCAATTTCTTCCAGTTCTTGACATGGCTCATTTAACATTCTTTGTTTAGCTCCTTTTATTTTATTTTTAATTAATCGATTGGTTTCATTATATTTAATTACATTTCTGGTTTTAAATTATTTTCTTTCATTCATTAATAGTAGTATATCTTCAGTCATCCAGTGTTTGTTTTCTTTTCTTTTATTGTAAGTTTTCATTTGCTGTTTTAATTATTGCTTTTTTTAATATGTTCCCATTTTTGGTCAATGTTATAGCTGCTTTTATTCAGTTCTTGGGCATTACGTAAATTTTTAGTAAGAGCTTTTACAGTTTGTTCCTTTTTTTTGGTTCTCTTAATCTCTTAATATCATTTTTACAATGCGAACGAAGTCAATTTGATTTCGGATTCTTCCATTCGTTATATCTCCAGGAGGTTTCCAAGTATACAATTTTCTTTTTGATAGTTTAAAAAGTGTATTAGCTATTACAAATTCTTCCACCTGGAAGAATTGTATTAAACGGTCACGGGCGTAGGAAATTTCGACACTAAGCAGGTAGCGACTAAAATTTAATGGCAATTTTCGACACCAGCCCCAATTCCCGTTTTTATCTTACAGGTATATTCGACACCAAATAAATATAGCTGCGACATAAATAAAATACCATAATTAATTAATTTATTTATTTTAATAAAAGTAATGTGCATTTTATTTCTTTATAACTGTAATAATATCTAAATATTATACAACTAGTACCTAATTTTTGTACATTTTACCGTTAATATACTTGTATACAATGATTTATTTGCAAGTGTCTACTTGAAATTCTTTTAACTTTTCAATAAAAATAATAATAGAAGGATCTGTTGAATAAAAAGAAGAATTAAATCTCGAATGAAAGGATTCACAGGCATTTGTGGTCCTCGCAATAGACGGATTCTGATTAGACCATATGTGTGGTGGAAATAGAGCGCTATCGAAAATGTAATTTTCCAGTAAATAATCTGCATATATATCAAGTGTTGCGTTTATAGGTTTATATGACATTAAATCATAAAGAAAGCATTCTTCAACTTCTGCTGGATTTAAATAAGTTAAACCAAACGTATGCCTTAACCATTTTCCAATTTCTGAATTTGTATCCTTATATTCTTGTACCAAACCCAAAGATTGAATTTGTTTAAACCAGTTTTGGTGTAAGTGAAAACGGCATCCACTAATTTTTGCATGGGGCCACATATACAATGAAGCACAATGAATTGCTTTTTCAAAGTCCACAAATATTTCAGTTGGCTCTAATGATAATTGAAATGTTTCAAAAATCTAAGACCTTAATAAAGAAAATAAATTTTTGTATGTCATTGACAATTTGTCCTTTAACAAACAGTATGCTAAAGGAACATAATGTCCATTTTCCAAGCCATGTATAGTAAATAATTGTAGAAAATATTTGGTACTGTATGAAAATGTACCATCCATATACAAAGTTTTTAATTTACACAACAAACGAATATTTGTCTCGCATGAAAATACAATTACATTTAATTCAGGATGATTTAAAAACAAAAAACTTTCATTGCGACAGGTTTTAGGAGAATAATTACTAACCGCGTTATGGACTTCTGATATGCTTCTTGGTAACCGACCTGGTAACAGTTTACGACGACAGTTGTAAATGTTCTTTCTTATGCTAGCTATGTCAGGAACCGTCAGCAAATTGGCATCACACTCAGCAACAGCAGTTCTTGTAATTTTGGCAGGCTTTTCCGATATGTCCTCTTGGGCTTTTCTTTTACATGCATTGGTTACCATCTTTACTTCAAGCTTTTTTGGATCGGCTTCATGATTATGTACCAAATCACTTCTTGTGATGGTGAGGTCCTCACAGCCTATTGTAAACACTTTTGCGGAAGACTTAGTGTTTCTTAGGATGCAGCGCCAAAATATCTCGCCGCTTTTTAACACTTTCTGTTTCGAGAACGAATGATGCTCCACCACTAATAAATCTCGACCACGGGAACTTTTTATCAAACTCATTTTTTAAATATCCGTATACGTGCAGAAGTCAACGTCAAACAAGAAATAAATTACAACTGAAATAATTTAGTCACAAGTACACAAGTGCCACGCACCCCGCCGTGACAATAAATATTGGGAAAACTCGCTTGTCCTGCTTGGGTGCAAATGTCCATCGCCGTTAATTACCTACCTACCTGCTCTACGCCGCGGTGTCGAAATTTCCCATAATAAAATTTGACCCTTCGATTACCCCAGGTACAAAGACAATTTGGTGTCGAAAGTTCGCCCGCCGACGGTCGCCACGTTCATTTCTATTTCCTAGAACATATTCACCCACATATCCATCCGAGACCAACTTTGACATTGAAGTCGTCCATTACTATTGTAGTGTGATGTTTTTTTTTATTGACGTTAAAACTTGTTCCAAATCATGGTAAAATAATTCGATTTAGTCTTGCATCTTTATCTGCCGTCGGAGTATAAGCTTGAATAAAATTAAACTATACCTTTCTTTGACTGAAGTCATAATGATAAGCCTATCAGAATAAGGAGAAAAACTTATTACAGAGTAGTTGACCTTTTTTGCAACTAATATAATAACACTATGGCGATTATTGACTTCGTTGTTACCTGAATAATACATCACTGACAAAAGGAACACCATTAATGATATTCAATTCTATCTCGATAAGTAAATAGCAGTAAAGAATAGGTACAACGACCAAATAGTAAACAAAATTTTAAACTAAAACCTGCATAAGAAAACTCTGAAATTAGTCTTTACATCACCAGAGAAAAATCCCAATATCTTTTGCACGATTACATATACAGACAGGATATTAACAAAAATAGCCAAACACATAAAAAAGAAAGGAATAAAATCAGCTTTAAGAACAAATAACAACTTAGGCAAATATATTAAGAACAACAAGAGCCAAAAGAAAAAGCACTTACACAGTGGAGTATACAAATGTACATGTTGTGACTGCCCAAAAACTTATATCGGGCAAACTGATAGAAATTTAAAAAAACGTATAGCAGACTACAAGGGCTTTTAATAACAGAAAAAACAGATTCTACATATGAACTTCACCTTCTAGATCTTAATTATTCTTTTAATGACCTGTTTCAAATTCTCCATATTCAAAATAAAGGCCTTAAGCTATGTTTATTAGATTTTATGAAAATTAATAAATAAAAAATACAGATATAATTCTGAATGACCGACTTAAGACAAACAATTCTCCCTTATCAACTTATTGAAAAGGCACTCTGCTGAAATAGCTGTAGTGATAATACGATATTGTTAGATAAATTGTACATCCCTAAAGTAACGGTCGAATATAGAATATATAAGTATTACCATCTATTGAAGCCGGCAGTTTAATGTTATAATTTCATAAAATCATAATTGTTTATGCATGTCCTCTTACGTTTATATTATACACATAACCTGTTAAATAATTGAAATTAACATAGAAATACTTTTTTTCAGAATGATGGATCTTCTGAACCTCTAGATTACACAATGGAATCACTACTTCTAGGACGACATAACGCAACATCACCAAATGTATGTAGCACATATAAGTAGATATTTAATTAGCTAATTTCATTTTTTGTAATCGTTTTCCTTTTTGTCTTGCATTCAATGGTTTAGGCAATAACCTTTTAAATATATAACCTTCGTACTACCTAGATGCCTAGAATTAATAAATATTCTGTTGAACTATTATTACCTGAGCTATGTTAACTTTTTATATTAAGATCGAATTAAATAAGTTTAATAAAGTTCAAAAATAAGCTAATTCACGTGACAACAAAGTAACCGTTTGCTGAATGTGTTGCACTCGTACCGATTTTCATTGAAGGACCTTGTGACATACTATATTTCATTGTGTTGTCAGGCGCGATCATTAACTGGATGGTTTGTCTACACGTCAACATACTACATACAATAAATTAAACATTAGAGAAACAATTATTTTCTAGATTCAATCCTCAAAAATTCTCCAGCAATTTATTATTTCGACTCAAAATATTATATATTTTTATTTTTTTTTTATTTTTTTTATTTTATTATTTTAACACTTTTTGAAAGCACTTCTTTTCCGCAGTACTATTAACACATATCCGCCAATATGCATTTTTCAATGTGGTTGACCGGCTTTATTTTTTCAATGGTATTTATGATGTTACTTATGATGTATTCGCATCCAGGCTCTCATCCAGCCGCAGACATGGCTCTTTGACACACTTGGCAGGAGTAATTTGTGCGTGATACATTTTTAGCAAGTTCGTCAGTTCTGGCGTGCCCATGTATTCCCCAATGTTCTGAACCCATAGCAGTATGACACTGTTATACTCCGCCAATATATCTAATTATTTTTGGCATTATCACACTTTTACATTCTCAATGTAAATGTAATGTAATGTAAATTACTACACCCGATCATTCTGCAGTTTTAGATCCGTCCGTATACCACGTGTAACCCTACAATCGGGGTCGTGTCTTTACTCTTTTCAGCTTCGTGGGTGGATGTTTACCTGAGAAAGTTCTTGTATTTTTGTCTGTATTTGTATTGCATATAATCACAGGTCACGGCCCACATAGCTTACTAAATTTCATTTATACAGATTCGGCAAAAATTTATGGTTAGTCTAAAAATTGCAGCATATGAAGTTAATAGATGAATTAAAAAACATCAATTTAGACAAAAAAGACATTGAGTTTATTAAGGCTATATACTGGAACCAAAAAACAGTAGTAAAGGTGAACGATATAGAAACAAATAATATACCGATTGCGAGAGGGGTTAGGCAAGGATGCGTCTTGTCTCCGACGCTTTTCAACGTGTACTCACAGGTCATATTCAGAAAAGCCTTATGGGAAAGAAAAGAGGGAATAAGAATTAGTGGAGAAATCATAAGCACCATGAGATTTGCAGATGACACGGTAATTATGGCTGAGAGTATAGAAGATCTACAAACTTTACTAGATGCAATAAATAGTGAATGCATTCAAATGGGACTTGACATAAACACAGATAAGACCAAATTTATGATAGTATCAAGGAGTCCAATAAATAATGAACAACTAACTCTTGGTGGACAGCAAATAGAGAGAGTGACAAAATATAAATATCTGGGAGCTTACATCAACACATAATTAGATCCAGACCAAGAGATCCGGGTACGAATAGAAATGGCAAGGGCAGCGTTCTAAAAATTCAAACAATTGTTCTGTGACAAAAATCTGAATATTGCGCTGAGACTGAGGTTTGTTGAATGTTACGTCTAGTCGCAATTATTGTACGGGGTAGAAACATGGACACTAAAAGCGCAAATAGTTAAAAAGATTGAAGCCTTTGAACTTTGGATATACCGGAGAATGTTGAGAATTCCATGGACTGCCAGGGTCACCAATGAGGAAGTGCTGAGAAGAATGGGTCGAGTCAAAAAATTGATGAGAACGATAAAAGTACGCAAGACTGCATACCTTGGACACATACTAAGAAATAATAAATATAGTCTTCTGCAGGTCATCATGCAGGGTAGAATCGATGGCAAAAAGGGAATAGGTAGAAAGAGGAAGTCATGGGTGCGAAATATTCGAGACTGGACAAACATGACTGTAGACGAATTATTCCACGTTGCAAAAGACAGAGAAGCTTTTAAAAATGTGGTCGCCAACCTCCGTTAATGGGGACGGAGGTTGGCGACCTTCCGTTAATAGGAAGAAGAAGAGTCTAAAAATTAGCGAGATATCTAACGAAGATACTAACATTATGTTTTCAGTTAATAGACAGAGGTCACAATCATATTCCCCCAAATTGTGCATGAACGCCCATCAAAGCGAACGACAGTCCCGATTGTTTTTGATCCAATTACACTCTTTAAAGCAAGATCTCTCATTTATTTCAGAAGTAGCTCATTATCATCACAGTCATTAACATCTTGGCAGATCTATTGTGGTTCATCATTGAGCTTCAACAGCTCGGATAGTCTGCTAGATACGACTAGTTCGCGCTCTTTACCCATTCTATGTAGTACTTCTTCGTTGGTAACTCGGTTTATCCAGGAAATCCTCAACATGCGTCTATAGCACCACATCTCAAATGCTTCGAGTCTAAGATATATCATAGACGAGACTATCTCACATCTCGCAATACTTCGGATTTCACAATACTTCATTTCAACTGTTGTTGGCGATCAATAATCATGATTTTGGTTTTATTGTAGTTAATTTTGAGTCCAAATTTAGCACTTTCTACTTCGAATTTTTTTAATAAGTTAGTAATTTCTTCTTGAGTAGAGGCTAGAAGTGTAATGTAATCTACAGAAAGAGTACAAATAATAAAATGGAACTTTGGAGGCCATTATATACAAGAAACTATTAATTTATTTATTACAGCTTTTGAAAATAGGCCAGTACTTAGACAGAGTAGAGACTACGTAAAAAAAACCATTGTTCTACACGTGTTTCGAAATATTACTCAGGCATGTTATGTTATTATAACGCTTCAGTTCAAGCTACTAGAAGTGCGCCTGATGACAGATGAATACTTCGAAATACAGATAGAGCAAGGATGGATCTTGAATTGAAAAGCAATGTAATCGTCTTCTTTCATTTTAACGTCTTTTCTCTACGTAAACTGTGGATGTATTGTTGGAATAATAGGTTATCCCTAACATCGTCTAATACCTTCTAGTAAGCTTGGATTTAAAGTTCACGTAATTCGTCATCGAAGAAGTCCCCTGACTTTTCCTTGCTACATATCGTCGTGCCTTTCGTTCCCATCCCTGTAAATATTTTTTTAATACCTGACAGTGCTTGGCTCCAGATTAGAACGACTGTTTTGATCTACTTTGAGAAGGTTGAAATCAAGGTTTTTCATACGTCGGTCCACCACATTTCAAATGCCTCCAATCGTTTTATGACATCTTCTGTAAGACATAAACTTTCTACTCCGTAGAGGAGGACACTAAAAACATCTAAGAAATGCGTATATTGATACCTAAAGATAAGTTGCAGATATTCTCAAGACCGTTGAAAGAACTGGCTTTTTCAATACTAGTTTTTATTTCGTAGCAGGTATCCTTAATATTGCAGCCCAAATTTTTCTCCACCACCCTTTCTGACGATGTATCGTTTATTTTAATTTGGGCGTTTATGTTGCTGTTTTTAATAACGACCATTATTAATATAGATGTTAAATAATGGTGGTGACAGTACGTAACCCTGTCTAACTCCTTTTTCGACTGTGAAGATCTCGGACAGTTAATTTTCTAATCGTACTATTGCTTTTTGTTGAAGATATAAGTTGAGATTAGTCTGATATCCTTACCATCGAGTTCTGATATTTTTAGGATATCGATTAGTTTCTCATGTGGCACTTTGTCAAATACCTTCTCAAAAGGTTCTCAGCAGTTTTATTGCCGATTTCATAAAATGTATACTCTGGCGAATACAGACATCCTACAATAGCACTAACTACTGAATGTGTTACACTTTGGAAAAAAATAGCCATTTGAACAATTTTCTTAAGAAGATCTTGCTTTTTGTTAGCTATTTTTTTTCTTTATTAATATTAATTTTATTCATGAACATCAATAATTATAAAAAATGTCATAAACCTTCAAACAAATGTTGTAGACCTAATTTGGACCATTTTCCTTGCGTTACCCTAAATTGTTCCATGAGTTTATGTCCAAAATGTTTCAGAAACACATCATTTGACTCCCAGACTATAATATACTGATTCCTGGTAAAATATTCACATTTTTATTACTATGGCTAACTCCATTCGTAATAAAACAGCTTTAATTTGCATTTGCCTTTCTAGGTCTGCCATTATCCTTGAATTTCTAACTGAAATTTTCCCCTTTTCATGCATTTTTGATAATTATTTCCTCTGAAAGGTACATTAAGCACTAAACAACCAAAAAGGATTTTCTCGTTTTAAATTTACCACTTCCCATTTTTGCATTTCACATCAGCTCTCTGACGGCCAAAGAAAAAAGTTTTCTGTTGGATTAGGATGGTTTAAAAACGTTTATAAATAAATTTTAAATCTAATGATTTTTAAAATGAAGTAGTTATTTCTTTTCTAAAAAAAACTGTAGGATGCTCAATATCATCTTTATTCGATAGGTGTATGTTTTTGACAAAACATTTTATGGTGAAGTTATAAATTTACTAAAGAAAAAGGAACACACAGCGATCCCTACGTGAATTGCACTATTGCCCTCCATCAGAGTAGTTTAAACTAACTTAAAAAATTAAGACACCGTCTATGTGTCAACAATAAAACAATGACAAGAGGCCGAGTGTTAGTACACTAACATAAAACCTAGTATGTTATGGAACTTAGTAGTACACTAGTAATAGTACTGGTATGTGACTGTAATTATGGTCATGTAATTCACGAATTGAATAATTTTTTATCGCGAAAATTCTACCTGGCGTTCTTTTAATGCTTTACTCGCGATATTTTTTGTGGAAAGGACGGTTGAAAGCGCTGATTTGGCGTTAGTGCCTTTGCTAGCGATATCTAGAATAGATGTTAGTGTATAAAAACAACTGCTGCAACTTAGAATAAAGAGGAAGCTATTCCGAAATCAAAATTATTGGTCTACCTGTTTTTCAAGTGAAGCTTTATGATAGTCACATACAAATCATTCAAATATATTTGGCATTACACTAATTATACTATGGGCCTGTAATTATTCTCCATTGAATTATCTCCCGCTTTAAAAATAGGTGTTAAAAAACTATTTTTCCAGCATTCTGGAAATTCACCCTTATTTAAGGATAGTTTTAAAATGTGAAAAAGAGGTCTGGATAATATAAAACAACAATTCTTGAGAAAGCTGAGAGGCAATCCATCAGGACTAGGAACTTATTCATATCCAGTTCTGATAATTTTAAATAAATATCAGAAATAGTTATGCTGAAACCAATCAAGTTAGTAAGACGATGTGAAGGTGTATCACTGGGTATGTCACATATTTGAGTGGAATAGACTTTAGAAACAAATTTTGCAAAAAGATTTACAATTCTGGTCCGTGACTGGATTCAACACCACCATAACTCAACACAGTTGGCAAGAAAGGCTTTCCCCTCTGTGAATTCACAAACTACCAAAATCCCTTCAAATTATTTCCTAGTGACAATGCTGATAACTAAATATGATTTCTGTAGTCTTTAGCTTTTAACAATTTACAGTTGGCCCTCAGCTGAGAAAAAGTGCGATAATCCAGAAGTGATTTAGATATGAAGATAATCCAGAAGATATTTTTTGTGAGAATTCTTTTTCTCAACTATCAGGCTCTTCAACTTTGGAGAGAACCAAGAAGATAATCTACGTTTTGAATATCTTTTTAGAGGGATAAATAATTCTATGGCTAAGTAAACTATATCATACAAAGTAATCACAATTTAATTCAGTCGTTTTTCTAAAAATAAATTATCCCAATAGAACTGTGGTAAAAAATCAGTTATTTTCACATAGTCAGCCTACTTAAAGTCCCTATAAAAACCATCACTAACCAAACCACTATTATAAATGGCACCTTTCGACCATCTTCAAACTTGACTCAAAAGAGTTTCAACTGCCCTGGACACAGTTACATCAGCATCATCAACCAGCATCAAATCGAGAATATTACCAGTAGAATTTACAATAGTGTTGGACTGAAACAAATTGTGGTATGCACATATACCACACACAACCTACAGGTCTTCACCTTCAGATGCTGTAGAAGCTGGTAGAGGAATTGATGTAGAACACATGTCATTTGAAAACCACTCACAGTTTGGTAAATTGAAGTCAGCAGCCAGATAATAGTGTGCATATGGATAAACTTCAGCTATTTGTTCTAAGGTTTCACAAAATATGGAGTATTTCTCAAACGTAGACTTTGTTGAAAAATATGCTATTCCTATAATAAACTGATTTGCACTTCAGTCACCAAGATAAAACGTTATTCAATTGTCTAGTTAACTGTTAAAGATTACTGCTAAGGCTCTTATGAACTGCAATAAGGACTCCACCAAGCCTCGTTGAATATGATAATACTGTAATGGGAATCAGAAATAAAAAACTATTGATTTCAAATTATTAAGAGACTACAGATAGCTTATGCATAGAAATCAATAAATTTAACAAAACACGACCATAATGTTTACCAACTTATACAAACTACTTTTTAATAGAAAATTCTTGCACCACACCCCTTTAAATTGTTATACATATTTTGAAATATGTAGTCCACTTACTAAATGTTCCTGTAGTTAATATTAAATTGTTTGTTTACTTATTTTTAAATTTAATTTATAAATTATTAAATTATTATTAGTAAACATAAATTTATTATTTAATATATTTTTAGTACGACCATGGAGTTGCAAGCAGTATTGAAGGGGACACAACATGCAGTGAAGATGAATATGGGGGAGCCACTAGAAGTAGTACTAAATTATCAGTTAGTAGTGAACCAGCTCCCGATACAAACCGAATGGGTGCTTTATATCACGGCACCTGGCCTGTAGAAAGAACAATGTGGAACTCTGAACCCTCCAGTTTAGGAGTCAAGGCGGATGGTCAGAATTCCAGAAAGAATATCGGGAATCAAATGGCAATGGTGAGTTAGTTTAATTATAAAGGTTAGAAACAAATTCATATTTATAATACTTGTTTATAATCATCATTCAATCCTCGCTTATCCACTGCTGGACATAGATCTCCCTCATAATTTTACATCTATTTCGATCTTGTGTCTCTTGCATCCAATTCCTATGACAACGTTTTATATCGTCAGTCCAACGTGTTGGTGGACGACCTCTGCTTCGGTAGGCATCATCTCTTTGTCTCCATTCCAGTATCCGCTTTGTCCATCTATTATCTGTTATTCGAGCCACATGACCTGCCCAGTTCCATTTCAGTGTTGCTACTCTCTCTACTGCATCAGCCACTCCTGTTCTTTGTCGTAGCTGGCGATTTGGGATCTTGTCTCGTTGTGAAACGCCAAACATAGCACGCTCTATCGCCCTTTAATACACACGGATCTTTGGAGCTGTTCTCCTTTTTGAACTGTTCTCTTTTATAGAAATACTTGTTTATAGAAATGCTAAATTATTAAAAACCAAAAAACAATTTTAAAAATTATTTCTCCAATTTTATATGCTGTTAGTTGTTTATTATTTCTTCGATTTTTGCTTATTTTTTTTTCTTTTATAACTTTTCTTATTTAATATATGCAGTACATCACCAATAGTGGTATAATCAAGAGCATAGTACATTTTAAACGTTCTTGTGCATTGCTCAGAAGCATGTACAACAGAATCCAGTGATTTTAGCTTTAACCTTAAATGCTTTGCAATGTGGACAACGAAATTTGTACGTTGTTGATTTCGATGCCATCGATTTCGTTCAACTTCATTATGCGCTTGGCATATTAAAAACCCCGATAGCTCATGGACGAGAGCAAATCAAGAAATAGCAGAGATATTTGGAAATTTTTTTTTTTCTAGAAGTTTTTCAACCTCTACCCTCTTATATAAGTGTTGAAGAAGAAGAAACTTTTTACGAAAGTCTAGCAACAATCCAACAGCCAGGTGAGCAAATTAAACCTGTATCAAAGAGATAAAGTGCTATTACATATAGATTAAAAACCAAAAAAGCTGCAGGTTATGACCTTACAATAGGAACTATCTTAAACGAGTTACCAGATAAAGGAATAATTATGATAACACAACTTTCATGTACCTGACTAAGGCTCACAATTGTACCAAATCAATGGAAAATTGCTGATATAATAAGGATTCATAAACCTGGTCAAGTGCCTACTGAACATACCTCTTACCGTTCTATTAGAACAAGTACATAGAGTCGTTGATATAGTGAATAAAACTTTTAAGAAAAAAAAATATTACTCTGCACTCTTTCTTGACGTCAGTCAGGCTTTTGATAAAGTCTGGTATGAAAGATTACTCTTCAAAATATATAAAATAAATAAATTCAAAATAAATGTATCAGAGTCAATGTTTACTGTACTAGTTACTTATTTAGAAGGAAGATACTACCATGTTAAGTGTGAATCAGAAACATCAAGAATCTACCTTATACGATCTGGAGTTCCTCAGGGTAGTGTTATGGGTCTTATATTATATTTCATATTAACGCACGACATACAACGAACAAAGAGATGGCGCATATAGATCAATGAATCTAAATTACAACATATCATCTTTACAAAATATCGCCTAGTATAAAAATAAAGAACAAAGTAATTCCACAAGCTGATGCACAAAGTGATATAAATTAAATAATTGTTGAAATAATGACTGAAAACAGATATATTTTATTTTGCTGTATCTTCCATTTTGATACAAAAATCTCTTTATCCTAATTACTTCTAAAAACCCCGAGAAAGAGTGATAATTCCTCTTATAGAACGTTAATGGAACTCAAAATCGACCAACCTTTTGTTAAACGACATTTGCATCGCTCAAACGCGAAATTGTTAAACGCGCCAAATTTATATAACCGTTTATATATCAACGTTGATTGAAGTTGATTGAATATCCGAATATCAGATAACAGTTAAATTTTCTTTCTTTAAGGACATTCTACATTGTATGGAAAACCTTAAAAAAAGATTAATGAAATTAGTAACGTTTCTAGCATATATTTTATTACTTAAACTCTATGTTTTATTTCTGGATATTTCATTTTCATTTTTATTCATACTTTGTATTCATTTTAATTTTTTTAGGAGGTAACAAGTGTAATGAGCTTTGCATCAAGTTCAGGAGGTGCGCCTTTAGATAGGGTTCTTGGTAGCCCCGATAGAAATAAATGGTCTTCCCAGCAGTTAGAAGCCAAAATGGATGTAGTTCATAGTCTCCTATCGATGTTAGGAGGACAAGAGCATGTAGATATGGGAGAAACTCTCTTGGCTCTTAGTTCTTGCCCTGAAAGTTGTCTTGCCATGCGTCAGTCAGGTTAGTTGTTTCTTTATAACCATATAAAAGGAAAGATATTTCTTATTCGTTGTGTTATTGCTTTATATAAACATCAAAATAAACAAACATTCTGTAGTCGAAGACTACTAGAAATCGAAAACGTCTATCATGGCCTGCCTAACAAGTATCTAGAGCAGTCGAGGAATGTCCCAATGGAAATTGTAATGACTTAATCGTCGTTTATTCCTTCTAGTAACCCAGCTCTCGGATGTTCTATATAATGTTGACACACACAAGATAGCATGTAGGACAAGTATTAGTTAAAGAATAATAAATTTATTCAATTACTCGACAAGCTAACGCCTTGCCTAGACGTTACAATTTTTCAGGATTAAAAAGCTACTGAAGGCTTATGTTTTATTAAAACAAATACAATTAATTCAATTATTATCCTGAGCTACAAAACTTAATGTAAACAATTAGCATAAGTGGCTAAAAGAAGTTATATCAAACGAAGTGTAAAAACCATCGAGCAAAAAGACAAAAGAGGGAATGTAAAGGTAGTGGGGGCAAAAATATTGTTAGACAGAAAGTGCGATTTTTAGAGGCCACATTAAACAAGGAAAGAGAGTCTCTCTCCTTGTTTGACATCAAATTTAGTTGGGTTATGTTATTGTTTGTCCCAAATGTCACATGAAATCTTATTTATACTGAAGTTTTTTAACAATTGTGTCGCATTTTAGACTATTATCGTTAATAATTAATTAAAACTTTCTCGTCTAAGATACATTCTGAAAAATATTATACAGCTACTGTTAATAAGTGTCTGAAAATTTAAATTTGGCGCATTCGCATTTCCGGATATGTCCGCCATCAGAGGCCACTTTTTTGGTCTCCTTTTCATAAGGATTAGATTCCCTCTTTTGTCTTTTTACTCGATGGTAAAAACATAGAAGATTGTCTCACTGTTTCCTATATATTTATAGATGGAGCTCTACTTAACTAAATGAAAATCGTCATCGGTTGAATTCTAGTTCTCAGATGAAGATATCTTCAAACTTCGTGTTTTAGAAGTCTTATCATTCAAATAAATAAATAATTAACAATAATACAGTCTTAAATCTCAATACCCTCTTCCAACTATTGGAACGTAAAACTTAAATCAACACATTTTTGGATAACTGATGGACGTGGCCATTGTTTTGATGACATATCAGTGACATAATCATTAAAAATGGCGGATGTTCCGGAACATTTTACCTACAGAGATGCATAAACATATAAGATTGAAAAAATCGAAATCAGATGTTGAATTGAACAGTCAAGAAGCACGTTTCAAAAATACAAACAAATCAAACAAGTACAAAATGCATACAGTTTAAACCTACAAAGTCGTGAAAAATTTGAAAGATGCTATGTATGATCTGTACTTTCGTATAAATGTGAAACTTGGACTTTAAACGTTGATACCATGAATAAAATCGATTCTATAGAAATGAGATAGTATCGAAGAATACTCAAAATACCATGGACCAGCAGAACCATACAGGAAAAAATTCTCAGAATAATAGGACGTCACCGAACTGTATTAAATATCATTTAAGAGACCTAAACTAGAATATCTTAAACATATAATCAATGGACCAAGATATATTTCCTTCGGCTAATTCTGTACGGTAAAATTAAAGGAAAGAAAGAAATAGAGTGGAAGAAACTCTCTTGGTTAAAAAAATTGCTACAGTGGACAGGTTGACCAGCAGACTAATTACTATACAGAGCCTAAGACTTAGTTCAATATAAGGATATTGGAGCATGGTAGTGGCCGGCGTTCTTTAGGAACGTAACACTCTCTTAGGAGAAGTGAAAAAGGTCATCACAATAATTAAGAAAAGCAAACAAAGTCTGTCATAAAGAGGTGGAAGACAAAGAAAACCAACCACTTGGGGAAATACGTTTTTTATTTTTAAAAAACATTTAAAAAAATCAAAACATGTATGAAATAAAGTCCTGTAGTAAAGTCCTGTAGTAAAATTGAGCTCAAGACATGTACCGTGAGAGGTTTGAGACTGATCAAACAGAGCAAGGTGTGGGAGAGATAGCATGAAGTCTGTATGCTCACACGTTTACAATACTCTTTATTAGTAAATATAAAATTAATTGTAAATAAATATCCAGTGAAGAATTTACTCCCTAATATTTTATTATAAATCCGCAAAAAACGAAGCCAAATTTTAGAATGCATTCACAATAAGTTAGATTAGAATCTACATTTAGTTAGTAAAGAAACAAAATATTGAGCATGTGTTCAACAATACAATGTCAAGATTAATTTAGAGATTATACAAGTTCAATCACAAAATGATGGAACCGCTCCACAAAAAAACTCACATGTGCATTGAACACATTAGGATCACTATATACAGGTAACGACATTGGTTTGTTGACCATAGGAATTAAGATTTATTGCAATCCCATCTCTAGAGTATATTTATTATGTTCTTCATATTTAATGCTCTAAAACTAATTTTTTGGTTATTTTTAGCCTTAATAGCGATACAAATAAATAAGTAAGTAAATATTATTGTCCCTGAAAATTGTACAAATTATATGGACAAAACTTATAACAATAAGACAAGAAAGAAGAAAAAAATCAGAATAAGAATCGTTTGTACTTTTAAATTAAAAAAAAAACAATAAAATTCTTCTAATTCTTCCTTAAAAATAAAAAATACTACCTAATTACGAACCTACAAACTTCGTAAAATTTACCTAACAAAAAATAAAAATTAGGAAAAGATTAATGAATTAAGGGCACAAATATTCCACCTTCTTGTGCTAAACAGTAACCAAATCTGTCATACAGATTTTTCCTTATATTTTGGAGTAGGGCTAGTTAAATGCTTGCAGAGAAATGAAGTATTTTTGCCCTTAATTCGACTAGGTTTTTGGCCCATTCAAACTGATGCCTATAAATGTTTTCTTCGAGAAAACACCTAAAAAAGGAATCGTTAGGCGCTAAGTCACAGAATCTAGCGGGTCATTTAATTGTACTACGTGTACTTATCAGTCGATCAGGAAACGTTTGATTGAGGAAGTCAATAGTTGCTCTAGAGTTGTTGAGCCGAACACACATCCTGCTGGAAATAAACCTAGTGAAAATTAAAGGGAAGGCGTCGAATTGCCGGAATGATCTCATTCTGTAAAAGTTGTAAATATATGAACCCGTTTAGGTTTTCCATCGATAAAAAATATAAAGAAAATATGGTCGCCCAACATCCCAGTCTAAACATTTAACTTTTGCGGATGCTGCGTTCGCACTACAGCACTGAGATGCTTATTTTTCCGAGAATAATACCTTGCAACGGATGAATTGTCTTTTTTATGTAATGAAAATAATTAGTCAGAAAATAAAATATTTTTTAAGAAGTGTACATTTTCATTCTGTTTAGCTAACATAAATTCACAAAACTCCATCCGCCTAAAGTTATTTTCCGAAAATAGTTCTTGTGTTGGTTGTATCTTAAAACAGTGATACCCATTCCTTTTGAGAACTCGCTGGACAGTTCGAGCATTCACGTTAACTTTTCTAGCAATTTGTACACTATTGCAGGGTTCACTAGCTTCCACAAAAGCACAAATATCAATATCCCTGTTGTGACGCTCCTCATCGACATGTCTAACACGTGGTTCATTACCTTCATGACACCTTTTACAACTGTTTACCCATCCCGAAGTTTAAAAATGTTTAATGGTATTTCTAACTGTTGTAACACTTGGTAGGAGTCTATTTTCGAAGGCAACAATAAATAAATCCATTACTTCGCGTATCGAATGACCCTGAAAGTACCATGTTGTAAGTTGCACTTTTTCTTGGACTGTATACAACGTAATAGACATTTTATTAATTATTTGTTTATTCTTGCAGAACTTCGTTTGAAATTTTTGATGTCAATGTGACAATTACGACAATTCGTACCTAATGTGAAATGAATATAGAGGTGGAAACGTGTAACATGTCACAGCGATTGCCATTGTGTTGTATGGTCAACAAAAAATGTCGTGATCTGTATATTTATTATTTATACAAAGTGTAGAACAAATATGTTCACTGCGATGGGGTATTTGTTGATAGTTGTATCATTTATATAAGAACATACTTCTTTCTGTCTGGGTAGCATATGTGGCCCTGATTGGTGTCTTCGGCTCAAATACACTATCTGTGTAGCACATGTGTTTGCCACATGTGCAAGTATGTGCCTTATATTGCTACAATTTTTTCATTTTAAATATTAAAGATACCGATAAATTATCCTTATGCGAAAAAAGCAAGGCTATAACAGGAAAGAGTAAATAATATAAATCTGTATTGTTATACGTCTTAAAAATGCGATTTGTTAAATAAAATTTCTTCCAAATTTACAACACACGTTTTCAATAAAATAAACTACTCTGAATTTTAGGTTGTATTCCCCTCCTAGTACAATTAGTGCAGTCAGATCGAGATGGTGACACTAGAACGAAAGCTGCACAGGCTCTACATAATTTAGTACATTCTCAACCAGATGAGAAATTAAGAAAGCGAGAAAGTCGAATACTCAAACTTTTGGAACATTGTAGAGCTTACATTGAAGCCGTAAAAAATAATATGGACTTTCAGCCAGCCGAGAAATCAGAAGGTAAATGATATTAAAACGTCATGGAAATGTTTTAAATGTTTATAATTTTCTTGTTTCAGATGGTGATAAGCATCCTGTACAAACAGTGGCTCATCTTATGAAATTGTCATTTGATGAAGGGCATAGGCAAGCAATATGCCAGTTAGGTGGGATACATACCATAGCAACATTAGTTGAGGTAAAAAATTTTGAGTTTCTATAGTAGATTCAAAAAAGTTAACAGTTTTATGTACATACTATATACATTACCTGTGTAGATATGGGAAATAATACGCGGTTTTTGAAGACCCAGTTCGGTGGGTCTGAATCAGTTAAGGGGGTTACCAGGGTTAGTACAATAGGTTATGTAAAGACCTTGATCTTTGATCCAGATCAGCCAGATCTAGATTGAATAACTTGAATAAAGTTGAAGTTTCACTAGGATGCGCCCCTAGATCACTCGATCTTTTAATAACCCATGCTTGAAAAATTTGTTTAGTTCTTTAAGTTAATATTTTATTTTTGTCATTTAACAATTTTAATTACATATGACCTTATTTGCATGATCATGACTAAATCTGCACATGCAAATATCCAATTCACTATTGAAGATACTGCAATTGAGAGTGTTAATAACTATAAATACTTAGGAACATGGATAACATCAGATGTAGACCAAACCAAAGAAATTAAGACACGTATTGAAATAGTAGGTGCATCATTCATTAAACTTAAAACGTTTCTTCGTTCTCGGGATATAAGGTTAGAACTACGCCTGAGAATGCTTCGATGTTACGTGTTCTCTACTCTTCTTTATGGCTTGGAAGCGTGGACACTAAAACAAGTCCATCTGAATAAGTTGGCCGCCTTTGAATTTTGGTGTTACAGAAGAAACCTACGAATATCATGGATTCAAAGTTCCCCCGTTCTTATCCTATTCATAGTTTTCCACGTTTTAAATTCTAGGGACTGGCCGGTCCATTGAACCTGGGGAAGAGGAAAATACTCAGGCGGTTCATCCTGCACTGTTCAAGGAAGCTTTTTCTAGATTTTAGTCGCTTTCGTTTGGTTTTTTCACTTATTATAAACCCCCTTTTCGTGCTTCTTGATGAATTTCCTTGAACACTTTTTTTGGTCGTTGCGTTGAGTACTGAATTAGAAAATATATAATATAACAATAATGTTTATTTAGGAAGCTTACATAGATTACAAGAAACAAAAAGCATACTATACTACGTTCCACGTTAAGAAAATACCATTGCGGAGATAGGGCCATGTATTTCTTATGGACGATAGAAACGCGGCATTGCCACGACACACACCAGCACAATTTAGGGTTGTATAATTTTTATTTTCGTTTCAACAGACATGAATTAAATTAATGTTTTTTAACGTAATTGACCAAAAGTGCCCATTCGAAACAAGAGATGGAAAGTAGGGAAAATGATTTTAATTAGATAAATAGTATTTACAAAAGATAATTTTATTTTATCTTATTTTAATTTTAGTAACGACAGTTTTTTTTTGTTTTTCGGTGAGAATACCATATGCCATGAATCATAGAAATCAGTAGAAAATATTGCTTAGTTAAATCATGCATTTTGCCGCCTATTAAAGTTTTAAATGCAAATAAACGGACCGCTTGGAATGCGTATATCTAATTACTAATTGCAACTTAAAATAATACGATGTGCCGGCGGGCGAACTTTCGACACCAAATTGTCTTTGTACCTGGGGTAATCGAAGGGTCAAATTTTATTATAGGAAATTTCGACACCGAGGCGTAAAGCAGGTAGGTAGGTAATTAGCGGCGATGGACATTTGCACCCAAGCAGGACAAGCGGGTTTTGGTGTGTACTTGTGACTAAATTATTTCAGTTGTAATTTATTTCTTGTTTGACGTTGACTTGTGCACGTATACGGATATTTAAAAAATGAGTTTGATAAAAACTTCCCGTGGTCGAGATTTATTAGTGGTGAAGCATCATTCGTTCTCGAAACAGAAAGTGTTAAAAAGCGGCGAGATATTTTGGCGCTGCATCCAAAGAAACACTAAGTTTTCCGCAAAAGTGTTTACAATAGGCTGTGAGGACCTCACCATCACAAGAAGTGATTTGGTACATAATCATGAAGCCGATCCAAAAAAGCTTGAAGTAAAGATGGTAACCAATGCATGTAAAAGAAAAGCCCAAGAGGACATATCGGAAAAGCCTGCCAAAATTACAAGAACTGATGTTGCTGAGTGTGATGCCAATTTGCTGACGGTTCCTGACATAGCTAGCATTAGAAAGAACATTTACAACTGTCGTCGTAAACTGTTACCAGGTCCGTTTCCAAGAAGCATATCAGAAGTCCATAAAGCGGTTAGTAATTATTTTCCTAAAACCTGTCGCAATGAATGTTTTTTGTTTTTAAATCATCCTGAATTAAATGTAATTGTATTTTCATGCGAGACAAATATTCGTTTGTTGTGTAAATTAAAAACTTTGTATATGGATGGTACATTTTCATACAGTACCAAATATTTTCTACAATTATTTACTATACATGGCTTGGAAAATGGACATTATGTTCCTTTAGCATACTGTTTGTTAAAGGACAAATTGTCAATGAAAAATTTATTTTCTTTATTAAGGTATAAGATTTTTGAAACATTTCAATTATCATTAGAGCCAACTGAAATATTTGTGGACTTTGAAAAAGCAATTCACTGTGCTTTATTGTATATGTGGCCCAATGCAAAAATTAGTGGATGCCGTTTTCACTTACACCAAAAGTGGTAAAAAAATTCAATCTTTGGATTTGGTACGAGAATATAAGGATACTGGAAAATTACATTTTTGATAGCGCTCTCTTTCCACCACACATATGGTCTAATCAGAATCCGTCTATTGCGAGGACCACAAATGCCTGCGAATCCTTTCATTCGAGATTTAATTCTTCTTTTTATTCAACACATCCTTCTATTTTTATTTTTATTGAAAAGTTAAAAGAATTTCAAGTAGACACTTATGTCAAAATAAATAGTTTACATATACCAGCAAAAATCAAAGATACTACTGTTAAGGCTAAATTGGCATTTTTGGAGAAAATGATGGATAAACTACGATCCCAACAAATACGTAGGTTAGATTTTATAAAAGCTGTATCTTATCATTCCTATAATAGCAAATAAATCATTGTATACAAGTATATTAACGGTAAAATGTGCAAAAATTAGGTACTAGTTGTATTATATTTAGATATTATTACAGTTATAAAGAAATAAAATGCACATTACTTTTATTAAATAAATAAATTAATTAATTATGGTATTTTATTTAAGTCGCAGCTATATTTATTTGGTGTAGAATATACCTGTAAGATAAAAACGGGAATTGGGGCTGGTGTCGAAAATTGCCATTAAATTTTAGTCGCTACCTGCTTAGTGTCGAAATTTCCTTCGCCCCGATGTGCGTTTGTCAGCGATTTTATGTCGTTCTCTGACTACATAATGATAATAAGGCTTTTATTTAGTAGTTATTCTGACTTTACAGTTAAATATTAATTGAAAATGAAAACTCAAAAATTGAGCAAAGGGAATATCTTGGACATCCATGCAAAAGAGAGTGTCTGAGAGTTTTGGCAACACTGATCTCCATAAGCGTAATGTTATTTTCTTAACTTGAAACAAAGATTAAATAAGCATAAAAACTCACTGAAGTAGAGCTACTGTAAAAGTAGCACCGCTTGTGCGTGACACTTAAAAATATATATTCAAACAAAGAAATATATAACAATTGTATAAATATAAATAGTAAGTTACATATGCGTACTTACAAAAATATATTAATTTTAATATAGCATGTGACACAACTGTGGGTACACAATTGTAAGTACATGATATTAACTGTGGTAAACTCAAGAAATGTAGTTGGTAATCAAAGTCTATTTAGATATTTATTATTTATTACTATTGTTCATTAATCAGTTTTTCATAGAATTGTGTCGTTTTGTTTTCAATCCATTGTTTAATTTCATATTTATATCTATGTTTTTTATAACTTCTAATTTGTTTTAAATTCTCTGGTAGGCAATTGTATACTTTGGGCTCTATGTAACCAACATATTTCTGGAAATATTCAGTAACATTTTCATGTATTACTCTCATTATACTAGTTGTAAGGAGCTTATTGCACGATCTAGTAATTGGTTTTTAAAGCAGTGTCACAAATGTACATTTGAGCTATGGCTTTGATGTATTCTTTTGGTATATTGAATGAGTTTTCGGAGAAATAATTTTATAATATAAATCCGATTATTGATTCGTTAAAAAAACGTCAAAAATTCTTTCGATATAACTTAATACAATTTAAATCTTAAAAAATGTAATCTATGTAGTAAACATGTACAGATCAATTGTACAAATTGCAATATAGTTACCCAAAAATCATCAAAAAGAAAAGTTAAAACTCTCGGTATAACTCAATATAATTGGTCAATATAATTGGAATATTTTCCAAAAAAAAAATGTAATAAATATACAAATCAATTGTACAAATAGTATTATAGCTATTTAGAAACTTGCACAAATGTAAAAAGTATTGATTTTTAGGTGGAGCATTCAATGCACAGTAGCACATCAACAGAATCCCACTGTATTTTGATGCGTAGATATGCTTGTATGGCACTGACTAATCTCACATTTGGTGATAGTGGCAACAAGGCTTTATTATGTTCTTTTAAGGAATTTATGCGTTCCTTAGTTATTCAACTTCAGAGTCCCAGTGATGAGTTAAGACAGGTAAGTTATCTTAAAAAAATAATGTAATGATATTAAAAATTGGATGCAAATTAAAAAAATTTAATGAACAAGAAAAACTATATAATTAAAAAAGGTTTAAAAGAACTTTTTTTTATATATTGCTGTTGGGATAATCCTTTCCGAAAATTATAAAATTATTCCTCGAAAATGTTCTCGCCTAAGATCCATTTTTTCCCAATTTCTGAAAAGTCGCTGTATTTACTTGACTTGTATCGCAATGAAACTCTGGTTTTATGTCAATAAAAGATTGAGGTTACATTTGTGTCGGAAGGTTTTATTGGTGTCGCCCTCTAAGCGGCTATATGCAAAACTAAAAAGACAAACCTCCTATAAGGCCTTTTGTATTCTGCTATACGTTTCTTAAAAAATCTACCAGTTTGACTGATAGAAAACAGAAGTTTTGAGTATTCTATTCATAGATAATATGAAAAGATAACGGTTGAATAACTTAAACTTAATTAACACTTATTTATGGAGATATTGATTTTCTAAGAAGTCCAGTGCTTTTTCTGTTAATTTTCCTCCTTCATATGCATACTGGTTGCTATTGAGAGGATGATCCCTCAACGGCCTCTCCTTAATATGTTTATAAGAATTTTTTCTATTACCTTCAACAGAAATGACATCAGATTGATCGGCCTGTATGATTTAGGTAGGCCGTTGTCTTTTCGTCACAGTTTGTGTATGTACATTACCCTTACCATTGTCCAAGTCTTTGGTATATAACCTAGGGCTATGCAAATTCCAAAGATCTTTGTAAGGATGGGCAATAAAATGTCCCAATACTTTTTGTATTTGGACAGGAAATATTCCATCTTCCAATGGAGATTTAAATAAAACAAAATGGTTTATGACCCACTTTACATTTTATACATAATTAACTATGTGCTATTGGCCAAATTTTGACTTGCCTGCAAGTTAGAAATTATTATGCAACCAGGCACACATAATTAGCTACTATTAATTGTAACTTAACAAAAAAAAAAATATGATTTACATGTAGTTTATCAACAAATTAAATTTTCGCCAATTAAAACAAAGTTTTATCTTTGACAAATGTCGAACAATAAAAAAATCCCTATTTTTGACATTGTATCGTCTTTTATAGATTAATATTTACAAATAGACAGTTTTTAATCAAAATTAATCAATATATACTTCCATTATTGATGATTTTATTTTTTTCAATTAAATAAGTCTGCGACAGCTATTAAAGCAGTGGCAGGAATTTTTATGTTGCATATTTCCGACCATGATTCTTTCAAAATACTCCCAAGCTCAGTAAATCGAATATACTTTAATGTATTGGCACGTTTCCACTGTGTACTAATTATTTTTTGGAAAACACGCTTTATTATCCCTATAACACTGGTATGTAATGATAGTATTCTAAATTGACTGGATTTAATTATTGTCACTAACAAAACTGAGACCACAATTGTTCAAAGAAGTTAAAACACAGTTAAATTTTCCATTTTTCTTACGTCTAGTACTCAATTCTTAATATAATGTTCTTCAAAGTATTAATTGTTCTCTACAAATTCTTGAATTTCTACTTTATTCTTAAAAGTTCTTGAATTTCAAGCAACTTCTACTCGACTAACATAACGTAAAATGCATATTTCATTTTCCCTTGTTTGAAGGAACTTCAACCACATTTCTTTATTTATTGTATCATAAGTATCGAACAGGTTTCGTTCAAAGGAAATTATTCCTTTCTCTGTCTTATTAATAGACTCGATTTTATAATCGATCCAGTATTACCCACCATTGCAAATGTCACACTGTTTGATTGAATCACAACACCGTTTTATGGCAATTGTTATGATTTTATTTTTAAGTGCACAGATCAGTTTCTTTAAAGTGGAAAATTTGATTTTGTCGTACATAACATATATGTGTCCTATACACTTGTAGCGATAAGACTACCAAAGAGAATTAAAGTACTATTATAAAAATAATACCTCAATCAACCATGGGAGCTTATCGTCTATGCTTCGTCTAGCTCAGTATCTCTTGTGTGAGTTCGTCTTGTCTTAAACTAGGAATCAAATCATGAACCCCTATCTGATGGCAAATAAAACAATGTTTAACTAATCATATTTATTAAAAATAGGAAATAATCAACCCTGTCAATGCTTTACAGTGAATATAGTGAGGATGATACTTATGGCATCGATGGCATCAATGGGCTGCTTGTGTGACCTCCCAATTAGATGGTTAGGTCCTCCTGAGCTGCAATTGTTCCATAAAATATTCTAGGAATATCCAGTTATTTCATTAACCCTTTCGATACTGTTGCCGTAAAAGTACGATTTTACGAAAGTACAAATTAATCTCTGTCGTTCAGGTTGTGTCACCGTACATTTTTAACGATTTACATCTTTGAAAAGCTATAATCGTAATAGTACGTTCTACATTGTCCATCTTGCTTACTAGTATCGCTCATATACGTTACGATTCACATATACACCATACTGATGCCGTACATACACGACAGCACATCACCCACCCTAACGCCGTACTTTCTAAATACCGTTTTTTTTGAAGTTTTTACTTCAAAAAAACGGTAAAAAAAATCTACTACTTCGATAAAACCAATATGCACAAACTGCCGACAAACGAAAAACGATTCAACCACTTCAATATAAAGAATGTAAACTACTGAGTAGTCGTCTCGATGTCGAAGTGCAAAATTTTCCCGACGCCGTATATGAGCAATGCGCAACCGATACTTGACCCATAGCGAAAGGGTTAATAGTGTTTCAATAAACTCTCCATAATACCGCCAGTAAATACAGCCAATAAATTCGTGAATATGGTCAATAAACTGAAATACAACAACAACTTGTATTAGAGACACATCAAAACTTGTTTAATTTTCTTGCCATTTTACAAAATTACAATGAAACAAACAGAAGATGGCAAGGTTAAAATGAAATATAATTATTATTACTTAGTTAAATTCTGTTAAGATTCCTACATGCATATAATCGAAAAAAGTGCTTTTGAAAGAAATGAGGTTACGATTACGAATATTGAAAATGCTGTCAGAATTACAGATAAAGATTTCAATGAAAGTACTCACCGCAAGAGAATGTTGCAGACCACAAAATGAAGCTTATAATAATTTTTGCCTATTAATTTCAAATACAGGCAAAAAATTATATTCCCACTACGTTAGAAAAGTTGATTGACAGAAAGTAGGAAGGACTTTATGTAAATATATAAATATTTTCTGGGATTTAAAAGTTTTATAGTAAATAAATACTATAAAAAAGTTGTGCTAAATTTTTTATTAAGACGTTTTTGGGATGTTTCAAAACTTCATCAACCTACGAAATACGCATACCCGAAAAAAAAATTCATACTATAAACATTAACTGTCTTAATTTCATACTACTTTCAATATAAAGTGTTAAAAACGACTGTTAGAAGAAAAACAAAATATAGTCTATTTTACTATTACTGTGGCGAACTAAACAAACAAATGATTTATTAAGAGATAAATTATAATAATTAAATTAATATCAACTATATTTCCTTCAGTAGCCCTGGTAAGATAAATGAACTTTAACTCATAGGTGCAAACAATAATCAAATTTTAAATGGTTGCAAAAAACAATCAAAACAGTGTATAGCTTCAGGTAAAACTAGGTGTGGACTTACCGGTAACTTTTTTACATTATTTTACGAAATCACAAACAAAACGAATTTAAGATATGTGTATTGGTCCACTTTCGATTTGCGTCTTTTGAATAACCATATTTGAATTTCAACAATTACTGCACTATTTATTATATTATTTACCTTGTCTTGCTATGAAATTGCACTGCAGACAATTAAATGTTTTCAGTAATGTCGGATTTCATAGTTTCATTCGTAGATTGACGTCACCAAATAAGTGGATCAGGTTAATGAAATTTTATAAGACCAAGGACAGTACAAATTCTAAAAGTATACTGCAAATTGAAAATAATAGTTCCAATACCGCTCTAGCTAAAATTTAGCTAAAATTTAGTCATGCTAGAGCTCTTAACTTTATTTATCGTCGATTTGTAATGAAGTTAAAAGCACAAAGTGTTTCGTTTTCATATCTCTTTGAGAATTTACAACGGACTATATCTATGTATTTGCTGATACAATAATAAAAATATTAATTTCACAAAAAATATCACATTTAAAGTTTTTATTTTTAGGTTACAGCCAGTGTTCTTCGAAACCTGTCCTGGAGGGCCGACTCAACTTCGAAAGAGATTTTGAGGGAAGTAGGTTCAGTGACAGGATTAATGAAATCGGCCATGTTAGATAACAAAGAAAACACTCTGAAGTCAATTTTATCTGCACTTTGGAATTTGTCAGCTCATTGTACAGAAAACAAATCAGAAATATGTGCTGTGGATGGTGCTCTTGGATTCTTAGTAGACCTACTAACATATAAAACTCCTACCAAGTCGCTTGCCATCATAGAGAACTCGGGAGGAATATTAAGAAATATTTCCAGTCAGATCGCGGTCAGGGAAGATTATAGAGAAATTTTAAGGCAACACAATTGCCTTCAAATATTGTTGGATCAACTCAAATCACCCAGCTTGACAATAGTGAGTAACGCTTGTGGTACATTATGGAACTTATCTGCAAAGTGTCAAGTGGATCAAGATGCCCTGTGGCAAATGGGCGCTCCAAGTATGCTACGTTGTTTAAATCATTCTAAACACAAGATGATAGCTATGGGATCAAGTGCTGCGTTAAAAAATCTGTTAAGTGCAAAGCCGCAACAAATGTTTCAACAAGATTTGGATGCCACAGCTTTGAGTTTGAACCTTCCGACTCTACCCACCCTTGGTAATTATTAATTTTTGTTATATAATTGGACTTACAGTTATATAATTATATTTTACGGATCGGTATATGAACAATCGAAATAGGAAACTTATAAACATCAATTTATAAATTTTGACTCTGCTAACAGTATTGTAAGTGACTCTGGTAAATTTTTATAAAATAAGAGGTCAAATTTGCGGCGTTTTCCAATGGTTTTGTTACATATTGTTTTAATACATAATTTTTTTTTCGTCTTTAAAGGGGGAGGGTCTGGATTCTTCAAAAGACATCTCAGTCCAGGACGCCGCCTGACTGACCTTAGTGCAGGATTCGTTCTTCGTACTCCCGGCGATAATTCCCGAAGTACTTTAAAATGCCCTCTCGTCGCCGAGTCTACGCCAAACGCCTACCTGCTAAACCAGACCCTCCTCTGTCATCCAGCGATCCGGAAGCGGAATGACCGCTGTAACGCCGGCATCACTTCCGGAGCACTACCTTTATTCATTAATTCTCCATTCATACACATCCCCACTCTATTCATCAGCAAGGAGGCTCTCTGTCTCGTTCCAGGTAGCGCGTAGAAGAAGGCATCGCTCCTAGTACGGCATCATTCCCGGACGGGCATTTCCTCCTTCCCCACAGTCTGACTCACTCATTTTAACTCATACAGTCTGACCCACTTTTCTAGCTTCAACTTTCAGCATCTTTCACTTTTATCTTTGCCGTTGGTCCAGCTGTCTTTCTTTCTCTTCCTTTTTCTTGATCACTGCACGGATATAGCTCTATATTTTAGTCCAACCTGATTTATTTTCAATCGTTCTCTCAATCATTTCTCTCACTGTAACACTGTAACAAAATTCACACATTCACACACTCTCCATTCTGTTCCTTTCCCTATCCATCTGCTGCAATCTAACATCGTATGTGTCACAGTGTCTGAGTATTCACAGTATAGGCATTCATCTGTGTCAGTCTTTCCGATCCTGCGTCAGGAAATAATCCAGTCGCCTGTTACCATATATCTGTCTGTCTATAGATTTTTCAATTCTACAAAAAATATTTCAGATTCACATATGCCAGTTGTATGATCCGTTAATGTTTTACTCCTCCCTTTTGTCTAGGATGATGAGGATGATGGTTCGAGTTTCTCGAAGTTGAAGTAATGGTTTGTGTTTGCCTTGATTTTGGGTATATGTACTCTGTGCTCAAGATTTCTGTTGTATTTTTATTTGATTAAAACATTTTAAAATGCAATAAGTTGCTTGTTTTCTATTTTATTGGTGAGGGTACGAAATTGAGCAAATTTAAGGGAATAAATTGATGAAACGTTGAAGTTAAACTTCTTTGTGATTTCAGAGAAAAGTGCCATACATATAGCGGGACCAACACAATGACTTTTTATCTACTAATTGATAGATCACCAATAGATCTTGGTGTTTAGATTTAATAAGTTTTATAAACCCAGATAAACAATGCATCGTGGATCTTTGTTGCAGTGAATGTTGTTTTTTTTTAAGTTTCAATATGTTATCACATACAATTCAGATTGCTACTAGATTTAATAACTTATTCTGATATATTTTTCTTCCGTAAGATTAGACGTGCTGATAGTCTTGGTTTTAAGAAATAATCTCAAATATTTTATCACACATAAACAACCTATTTTCTTCGGTTGATCAAACTAGTAGTGCAGTTGGAGTTATCTCGGTGAATAATTTATGCTACAGTAGGTCCGCTGAATCTTTACAAGAAAGTCATCATTATAAATATATACCTACAAAAAAACGAGCAATAAGGTAATAGATACTCGATATATCAACGGTTTTTAAAACCATTTATAAATTCAACTTAGAAAAATGGATTAAAACTTTAAATAATACGAAAATTAGTGGTAAACGCACAACAAATGTGCTGTAACTTCACAGTTACACAACTAGGAATCCAGACTGCTGAATCAGTCACCACTTTGCGTCATATTGTTGTCTTTTTTTGATATATTCTATCCTATAGGAGAAACAAGGAGCTTAATTTAATCATTTTAGGATTTGTGGGTAGAAAAAAGATGTAATATAAAATGTGATTCGAGAATCGTGTCATATATATGCAAAGATCCAATGAACAAACTATATTCTGTTTTTTCTCAACTTTGGGTGCTGAACACCAGCTTACAACATCGGACAACAAACTAGTGATATATATGTTACATTTGTCGTTGCTTTTACACTTTTTTTCATCAAGTGAGGAAATTGTTGAGTTATACCTGGGTGTGTTTGGTACAATTGCCTCGTTTCCGGAAATATATATTATTTACGGCACGAAAAGCAAAAGACGTTTATTTCCAGATTGAGATTCCAATTTGGTATTGAATGCTTTCTAACAGTGACTATTAGTGAGTGCCAATGACTACTACCAACAAATCAAAAGAGGAAATTAAAAGACGAATAAACCTTATAAATACGGCATACTATGGACTCAAACAACAATTTTACTCAAGAAGCATCCAAAGAATATCTAAAATTATTATATAACACATCCCTCGCATATGGAGTGGAAACATGGACTCTAAAGCAGAAGGATGAAATACTTTTGGGAATATTTGAGCGAAAATACTCCGCAAAATATTTGGAGCTATGAACGTCCAAGGACAGTGGCCCAAAAGATATAACTTCGAATTATACCAACTCTTTAATGACCCAGACATCGTAAGGCTTATTAAAACACAGTTATTTAGATGGGCTGAATACAGTACGAATACCAGACATCACGAAAAGCTAACCTTAAGAACACCTGTACGGGGAAGATGTAGAGACCTACCGCGAATTTTATGATTCAAGAAACCGAACAGAATGACGACGAAACTTAGAGCAGGTCAGAATCCACAAAGGGTTGTCGAGTCAAAGATAATGATAATGATGCTTTCTAACATTTTATTAACCCCATTTTGCATTAAAAAATGGTCTTTCACTTTTTGTACAGTGATAGATTTTTCGCATTATTTAATTATGCTTTTCTTTTAAATAAACGGTAAATATTGCAAATCTGAAATTTATATCGTATTTTAATCTATTTGTCACTATTTGACGTTTATTTACGCGCTTCATGATATAGTACAGATCAAACTATAATGTTTTATAAGCATGGAATTTCATTTTTTTAAGATACTAAAATTTTCAAACTTTACCTTTTCAATACTAGCCGCCAAGCATATGCCGATTAATACCCAAGATCTGTACAAAAGCATGCCGAAACCCTAGACAACTCGAGTTGCCATAGAGAGAGTTTGGCGGTTAGCATTGATGAAGAAGAAGGATCTTAGTTTTAAAAAGATTTAAAAGTCAGTCATAAAACACTATATCTTGAGTTGCTCTATAACTAGATCTAACATTAAAATCACGTCGATATTTCTGGCTAATTGGCTATGCCAAAGCCATTATACTATAAAAAAAAGGTCGATATTTCAGATCAACTTTTTTGTTAAGGCTGTTTTAGCAGTCAAAACACACTGCGATTTGAAATGGGCGTATCACTTACTTTTCCTCACTGCTTACGCCAGCCGACGGCGGGTACAGCTGTTTTCGCAGTGGGGCCGGCCGGCGGGTGGTTTAATGACAACAAATGCATTATTTTCCATTCAAATTACTTTTGTCGGGAATACCTTTTTTGTTTGATTATCGTAGATGTTTTAAAAATAATTATCACATTTTTAATTTATATGTCTTAGATAAATATAGTATTGAATATACATTTGTGAAACGTGACTGCAAAAAACATCATGGTGTTTATTTATAATAAATTTAAAATAACATAAAAATATTATTATCAAAAAAAAATACAATTTGTTGTCACAAACAAATAAACAATTTCGCAGTTATAGCTTGAAATTGGTTTCAAATCAAACTATCTGACCGTACGTTTATGAGATTTGACGTCACGCAGCCGATAACGCTGAAACTAAATGCCAATGATGAGTAACACGTTTCACTATTAGATTTCAGTATTTTTTAGCAATTTTCTTCAAAGTTTGAACACGCTTTTCTCGATTATTAAGAGACATAAAAAGGTGAAAAAAAACCAACGATTACAGAAAAAACTCTTTCAAGTGATGGGCGTAAAAAGTTTGGTTATAATAGAACGTTAAACTGTATAATCCGATATTTCAAAAGAACTTTCAAAAAAAAAAATAAAAAAGTAAAACCATCAGTTTAAACACAACATAATTTTGAATAATGTGTCCAAATTTCGAGATATTTTGTCGGTAAATAGCAGAGAAAACACTGTATCTAGGTTTTGGTGTACCGATAAAACAGCCTTAAATCTAGTGCTTCATACGTTACTTTTCTAATGATATAAAACAAATTCATATCTTTATAGGTGCTAGAAAACAAAAAGCTCTGCTTCAAGATCTAGATTCTAATTTGACAGAAACATATGAAAATATTGAAAAGGATTCGCCAGTAAAAAAGGAATCGAGGAGAAAATCCGAAGTTCAGGAATTGACCAGTAAGTATAGGTTTTTTTTTCTAAAAATTAGTATCGGTGCAAATAAATTTGGGCAAACGCCTAAGTCAAGTCAATAACATTGTAATATACGTTAGACTAGAAGTGAGGGACTAATAAAAGAGTTATTATCCAAGACTGTCAGGAAAATCATTCTCCAGGGCATAATAATTTATTATCCAAAAAAAAAACAAATTAATTTGAAGCAAAATATACGAAAAAACTAAATACTCAACTCCCTTAATATTTACTATTTGGTTCTGAGTAATTTATTTGTTTTACTTTTGATTAAAACAACTGATTAAACTATTCTGTAGTAGGGTGTTCTAAAATTAATACAATATTTAAATTTGTCGCAATTTGTGTAGTCAAGTGTTTAGGGTAGTAGTAGTAGTCAAGATAACTATTCTAGACTAGAAATATTCGCAGAAGATAACAAGCTAGTGGTTCTAAACACATTTTATAAACTACCACCGAGGAGATTGTATACATGGAAGGCACTAGCAGATAAACCCCATAACGTAATTAGAAACCAGATAGATTATATATTGGTAAATAGAAGATTCAGAAACAGTTTTAAATCTGTCAAAACATATCCAGGAGCGGACATTGAATCTGACCACATACCTTTAGTGGGAGTCATGCATGTGAGACTCGAGACAATAAAGAAAAAGTCTAGATCTAACTACGACATGACAGCCCTGCAACATCCGGAAGTTAAAAAGCAAGTGGGGGAATATATTAACAACCAAGTTAAACAACTAAAAGAAGAAAATAACATCCAACGAGAAATCAATCAATTCGAAGAAATAATTAAGAAAACTAAACAAGATCTGCTAAAACCAAACAAAGAAACAAAGAAGAAATCTTGGATGACTCCAGAAATCCTTCATTTAATGGAACGCAGAAGGTTAATTAAAGGAAATAAAGATGAGTATAAAAAAATGCAGGCTTACATCAGAAGAAAAATAAGAGAAGCTAAAGAAAAAGAAGCTGTAGAGAAATGTAAAGAAATAGGAAGACTACAAGCCAAGCATGACAATTTTAATGTACACAAAAAGGTAAAAGAAATAACGGGTATTTTTAAAAAGCGAACACAAATGAAACTCATAGACACCAATGAAAAATTAATCATTGACCCCAAGAAATGAAAGACAGATGGAGAATATATTTGGAGACACTTTTTCAAGACCAAAGAACGGATTATAGGCATCCATTTTCAGAGAGGATGACGGGCCCGGACATACTTAAATCCGAGGTAGAAGAAGCAATAAAACGGATGAAAAGCAGGAAAGCTGTAGGGCCTGATAATATCGAAGCTGAATTTTTAAAACTCTTGGAGAAAGAAGGAATAATTTGGATCACGGCTGTCTTCAATAAAATTTACAATACAGGAATCATCCCTGATAAATGGCTAGAATCAGAATTCATAGCGATACCTAAAAAACAGGGGGATAAAAAGTGCGAAGAATATCGAACAATCAGCCTAACGAGCCACATGTTGAAACTGTTCCTTAGAGTCATCCATGGAAGAATTTATAAGAAGTGTGAGGAACAAATATCGGACAGACAGTTCGGCTTCATTAACGTAGTGGGTACCAGAGAGGCACTTTTCGGAGTACAGGTACTGATTCAAAGATGCAGGGACGTTAACTGCGACGTATACGCGTGCTTGATCGACTACGAAAATGCATTTGACAGAGTTCAACATCAAAAGATGATAAACATTTTAAAAGAGGCAGACCTGCATGACAAAGACCTCAGAATAATTTCAGAACTCTACTGGAATCAGACCGCATACATGAAAATTAACGGAGAAGAAACAGATCACATAAGAATACTACGTAGAGTTAGACAGGGATGTATCCTATCGCCGTTGATATTTAATATGTACTCAGAGAAAATTTTTAACGAGGCTCTTTACGGAATAGACGAAGGCATCCTTCTAAATGGTGAAAGAGTAAACAATGTTAGATATGCCGACGACACCATGGTGATAGCAGATAGTTTAGAGGGACTTCAGAGGCTAATGGACAGAATAAACGAGTACAGTCAATAGTACGGACTAAACATTAATACCCACAAAACGAAACAAATTATTATCAGCAAGGAGAATATAAATGGGGCTCATCTATACATTAATGGGACGCAGATAGAGCGAGTACGGTCCGTCCCAAACCCTTTTTTCAGTGCGTCATAGTTGATCGAATTCTCTCTAACGCATAAAGCTAGAAGTGACAGAAAAAGACGTGAGTCTTCGATTATTATACATAGAACATAGAAAATTATGTATCGTTCACGAGTATTTGCATATTAAAGCGAATTCTACTTACGGATGTATAATTGGTTGGAGTTTAGAATACGCTAAATAGATATCCAATCAATGATGTGCATAAATATAATTTGACGCAGATTATCTTGATCATGACAATACTTTCACAATGTCAACTGATAAAATGATAATTGTCATTCCAGGTTAGTATTTTCAGACATTTTACAGTGAAAATTTAATTTTGTATTTATTGTCATAAAAATATTTTAAATATGCCGAGATATACCGAGAAAGAACAAAGACTACATACCTATTTAAAAAATAACCTTTTTACATTTAGTCGATTACGATACTGCAACTGTCGAGATTTAACTAAAATGTCAAGCAATAATTTTCGACATTCTTAAAATCCTATATGACGTCACATTTAGTGACGCACTGAAAAAAGGGTTTGGGACGGACCGTAAAACAGTATTGTTACCTGGGAACTATTATTAACGAACAGTGGAGCAATTTACAGGAAATAAAGTGCCGCATAGGAAAGGCAAGAACGGTCTTTAACAAAATGAGCGCCATCTTCAAAAGTCACAACATATCCCTTGATACAAAAATGAGACATTTGAGATGCTATGTTTTCTCTGTGTTGTTGTACGGGGCGGAGGCATGGACGCTTACAGACGCCACTATTAAAAAACTTGAAGCATTTGAGATTTGGCTTTATAGAAGAATGCTGAGAATATCATGGACAGCAAGGATCACGAACAAGGAAGTTCTAGGAAAAATGAAGAAGGAACCAGAGATTGTGTTTACGATCAAACGCATAAAATTGCAATATCTGGGACACGTTATGAGAAATCAGCACCGTTACTCCCTGCTACAGTCTATATTGCAAGGTAAAGTCAAAGGTAAGCGAGGACCCGGTAGAAGGAGAATATCATGGCTGCGGAATTTAAGAACATGGTTTAAGAAAACCTCAACGGAGCTGTTTCGAGCCGCAGCGAGCAAGGTTATGATTGCCAATATGATTTCCAACATCCGAAACGGATAGGAACCAGAAGAAGAAGAAGTAGTCAAGATAATTTAGGGTAGTAAGAATGGAGCGTTATACGAGAGGACTACGCGTTTTCATTGTTGAACCATATTTTAAAAATAATAAAATAGTCCAGTTATTTCAAGCAAAATCATCCTAAGCAATGAAGAATATTTTCACTTTGTTAGCTTTGTTAATCATCAAAATTGTCGCATTTGGGGCTCTGAGAACACACGTATGACACTTAATAAATGCATAATGTGAGTGCATTTACCATTTGGTACGGATTTTGGCTGGAGGCATCACTGGACCATACATCTTTAAAAATGAATCTTGCCAAACAGTTACTGGTTAACGATATCACAATATGCCAACGAGTTCTTTCGTCCTAAATTCGATTATATTGACGTGGACTACCTGTGGTTTCAACAAAATTTTACCACATGAAACAATTCAATACAACTAACTACGACCCTTATTAACTCTTGTTTATAATTGATTAAAAAACCCTTCTTAAAACATGACATGACTTAAAAATGGCATTTACAAATATGCAATATAATATAATAAAATTCAACCACTTTTTATTTTATATTAACAACGTATTTTATATAAATTAATTAATACTTTTTTCTTTACAGATAATTTCTCAAGTCTTAATTTAAATGAACCTTCAACTAGCTTTTCTTCAGATCCTAGGATAACACCTAGGATACCTCAAACATACGGTAGTACCAGTTTACCGTATAAACGACCAAGTTGTACATTCATTCCCGTTAGAAATAAATTTTCGGATTGCGCGTATGATGATGAGATCGATGTGTCTGATCAGCCCATAGACTATAGCAAGAAATATTCTGAAACTAAGGTGAGATTCTTAATCATGTTATTTACTTATTCCTCGCAGTTAATTTTACATTTATCCGGTGACCTGTGAAGACCACGGTTTTTTATATTTTCCAATTCATACATATATTTTTTTTAATTTTACAGGTGCCAACTGTGGACAATCCAAGTACTTCTACAAGCAAAGAACACGACTATACTTACACCAAACAAAAATCTGATAAAGAATCAAGTTTTAATATATATGCGGAAACAGATTTGGACCAACCTACTGACTATTCCCTGCGTTACGCCGAAGATGATTCCGATTCAGAAATTGCAAAAAATGAAGATACGATAAAAACCTACTGTACCGAAGATACTCCATATGAGACACCGTTTAATTTTTCTACTGCTACGTCTATGTCCGATTTAAGGATAGATGACAAGCAAGTTATCGATAATGATAAATTAAAGGACAGAGAACATAAAAATAGTAAAAAAGTAGGTTTTTATTATTAAAACTCTTATTTTATGGATGTAAAAAAATATATTAAGGTAAATGTGCGTCATTAATTATGACGTCATATAATGAATTAAGTGTGTCGAGCATTATTTCATATAGTTATTGAAGAATCTGACAGATTTCAGGATCGTACTTAGCCTCAGGGGGTAATCCCGTATATTAATAAAAATAAAAAATATTGTTCATTAAATTTATAAATATGGAAACATTCGAAATTGACGACAAAATGATTCATTTATTGAATTTTTGTATCTTTTTCTCAAGGGGTTGTCTGCGCGTCGAAAGTTGGCAATCATCACAGCGATTTTTAATTTTCAGACAGCGGCTCTAAATAAGTCGTTATTACATGGGTTACGTCTCCTTCCTATGGATCTTTTTCTCCGTATTTTTCCTTGCATAATGACCTGGAGTATTAGATATTTATCTCCTTTCATCACATGACCCATATATTACACTTTTCTCCTCTTAATTGTTAGTACTTCTCTTTCCTTATGCATACGTCACATTACCTCAACGTTAGTTATTCCATCTACCCTACCCATGAGATCTCTAGTACTCTTCGGTACATCCACATCTTGAATGTCTTCAGTCTCCTCACGTGAATTTTCTTCAGCTTCCATCCCGTATTATAATACGGGTAGCACGTAGCACCTCAGCAGTCGTATTTGTAACTTAAGGTTTAAGTTTCTACATCAGAGAAGCCGTTGTATTCTTGTAAATGCGCTTCTGGCTAGTTTGATTCTGATTCGTATTTCTTGAGAGCTGTCATTGTTTTCATTAATAGTTGTATCTAGGTATTTGAACTCTCTTACTATTTCAATAGGCTGATTCTGTACATATATCTTACTTAATATGTCTTCCGAGTATACATATTAAATAATACTGGTGTATATCTACATCCTTGCCGAACAACTCTTTTTTACTTCTATTTCTTCTGATGTTATTTCTTCTATTCTCACTACTGCTTTTTGGCCATAGTATAAGTAACACAAAAAAGACTGTTTTCAAAAATTTATTAGGTAACTTCTAAATTAATTACAAAAATAAAATATAATTCTAATCATAAAAACTATATATTTACTAATGTGTAATAATAGTTTATTGAAAACGCTGAAAGTAGAATTTGAATATCAGTGTAATAGAAAATTATATAAAAATACTGCCAGTGGAGAGTTTCCTTAAAGATATATCCTTAGACAAATTCATGGTGAAATATTTCGGTCATAACCTAGCAAAACATTAATTAGAGAGGAGCCCGTCAGATTTGGATATAAGAATTGGATGATAACTGGTTCCACTGGATATGATTATGGTTTTCACGTTTGTTGCGAAAAAAAAAAAACGAATAATATTGAAGATAATAAAAAAATACCACTTGCAGCTAAAGTAGTAATTGATCTTTTGAAATATAGGCCTGAACCATCTAGAAATGAAATCTTTAGATTAGGTCGTTGGATGAGGACCTAGGAGTTTCCTGTGTTTACAACGTTTTGGTTTCGCATTTATAAATAACAAAGTTTGTTCATCTAGCGCATAATGTCAAAATAGGCGATTCTACAGTTTGTATGTACAAAATTAGACTTTTAGCAGATAAAATTATAGAAAAATACTGCCAGTGGGGATGTATCTATAAAGATATTTTCTTAGACAACTCCATGGTGAAATATTCATATTTTCCAATTGAAAATATTAATGCAATTTTAATATTAGAACTAGTCCTTTTTCAATACCAAAATACCAAAGTACCAAAATACCAAAGAATATAAATATATTATACAGCGTCTATATTCTTAGCAAATACTGACCTGAACGACAGCCGTCACTTTCTGTTTAACCCCATTTCAGCCCATTTTTAACATTTCCGACGTTATACGATCCTCACCAGAAGCTTTTTTATTTTGCATTTGCTGTAAGGCATGTCTAATTTCCGAAGAAGTTATTTTAGGGAGAGTTTCCTAGCCGACGTTTAAAATTGTTCAGGGGTCTGTTGGTTTTTGATTTTAGTTATCTTTGATTTTCATTTAGTTAAATATGATTTCAATACTCTCATGTTTCTATCGTTTTCGATGGTTTGCAATATTTGTTTTACTTGATAGGCTCGCAAGTCTGACCTTATGCTCTTTTTAACTATATTGTTGATAGCCTTATACTCTGGTCTGGCCTTATACTCTGGTGATCTTTCGATGATCTTCTTTATTCCATTAAATCCAGTGTTGTTTGTTTTAATTTCGTTTTTCCCGGATTTTTATTTTTACCACAGATCTTTTTTGCAGTTGATGTTGTGGCATTCGTTAATTTTTGTGTTATTTCATTTATATCATTCGTGTTGAATACTGGTAGAGGTCCTAGTCTCTTTTTTAGTTTACTTTGATATTCCTCTTAATTAAAGGATACCATGGCCCGATGACGTATTTTGATTAATTCCTGTTGAATGAACGTGATGCCTGACAACCAGATCACACACATTCGACTGAACTTTTATTCTATATTTTCACATATTTTTGTTTTTTGTTCTATTTATCCTCAATTTTTTTAAGTTCTTTGTGTATTTATCTTTCAGAACTTTTCGTATTTATTCTAACATAATTTTTGTTTTAGATAAGCGAAAGTCCAGAAGAAAAAGAACGATGCAGTACGGAAGATATTTCCGACCTTGACCATCGAACAAAACTGACAGAAAAAATCCCCAAATCTGAACTTAGTTCTGGTCTAATGTCGCCAGAAAAACCGGTTAATTATGCAGAAGAGGGCACACCCGGCTATTTTTCGAGAGTTAGTAGTTTCGGTTCATTGACTTCCATACCAGCAAACGAAAGAATCAAAGAAACAAAAGAAAGTGAAAATAGAAATTTGGAAAATGTAAAAAATGTGGAGAAGATATCAACAAAATCATCCGTCGAAACCAAAGCAGTAAAATTCGAAAGGGTAGTGAACTATGCAGAAGAAACGCCCCTTATGTTCTCAAGGTATATTAATTTTGATATGTAATATATTTAATTACACGTTATTTCGTTTTACAGCGTTGGAAATCTAAGAACTAAACGTATACATGGTTTAAAATTTGAAATAATGTTAGGCGTTCAAATGAGTAAGCGGGAGAGCATGTTTTACTGCAATTGAATTTAAAATAATTTCTAAATCTGAACATGCATCTGTAGCGAATTTAAACAAACAATCGACTATTGCGAGAATTAATAATTAAATTAACACCAACTATATTTCCTTCGATAGTCCTGGCGAGATGAATGAACTTTAACTCACAGGTGCAAATAATTATCAAAATTTAAATGGTTGCAATAAACATCAAAACAATGTATATGTTCAGGTAAAGCTAGTTATGGCTTACCGCTAATTGAAGCTAATTACCATGGTTTACACTACTTTACAGAACAACGGACAAGACGAATTCAATATGAGTGCATTGGTTCACTGTCGAGTTGCGTCCTTCTGAACGACTCAGCTCTTGTCCTTGTCAAGGACTTTTCTATCTACGTGTGTTCTGCCCAACAGTCAACAGGCGACTCTGGTTCGATCGACTCCCACACTCATCGATTTCAAAATTCATTATGATCGACAGGAATCGAATGGTTGATAGAAAAGGAGAGATATCGCAATTAATCCAGACAACTATATTTGAATTTAAAAGTATACCATAAAAGATTTTGATATTTATTATATCTTTCAGGTCCAGTTCATTGGCATCTTTAGATAGTATAGAACAACACTCCATTCATGACGATAGAAGTTCAGTAGTGTCTGATTTTAGTCGTTTAACTAGCGGAATCGTGTCTCCTAGTGAACTTCCAGATTCTCCTACCCAAACAGTTCCACCAAGTCCTAAGCCGAGAAAAACATCACCAGAATTTCCCTCTAGTTCAAAGGTAAAAGTCATACGAAGTTTTAGTTATTTTAGAAATTTTATTGTGTCTTATTATATCGAACATAACTAATGAGAAATTGGCAAGAATCGACCTCACAAGAATGAAGAGGATATCTGAAAAACTACGAACTCATAAAATATTTTATTTTGACTTAATTCTTAATTATCTTAGCTTAACGGGATCTATTTAGAGTTGGTTGGTTTAGAATGTAATCTTTATCTTGCATATCTCTATATCTACGACAAAAATAGACAGGTAAAACTGTTTTCAGTGCAGTTTTTTATCAAAATATGTTTGTGCAGTTAGTTAAAAAGTTCAATGTTTTTCAAAAGTGCAAAAAAGGGTATAAAATCGTTTTGGTTTTGGAAAATCAGGAATTCTTTGTTTCTGAAAATTTGATACAAAAACGTCTTCAAAACAATTGCACAACGAGAAATACGATACTATGGTTTTGTATATAAATTTTGCAGTTCAGCTCCGTATGGAAAATTGGTTTTCGAAATTGTTTACTTGTAGTTTAACAAACAATTCTCAAATCCATTTTAAACTCGCTTAATCTTTACTATTGTTTATAAACATTACATGTTTATTAACGCTTTATCACTATCATCGCTACTAATGTCATCGCTGTTACTGTCACCGCTATCACATTTAATACCACAAGATCAATATCGTTCATCAACCCGCCAATAACCCAAAATTTTGGCTCCACCTCAATAGCAAGTTTACAATAGTGTTCCAATTGTCCACTGTTACTACACCAAATGCATTTCTTATTAATTGTTACATTGGTTACCCCCTTAATCTCTGTGTTGTGTGAAGCAATATGTCTTTTGACGACTTCATACCTTTTCAATTGTGTTTTTTGTCTTTTCAAATGTGTTTACGACTTCCTTTAGTTCTGATTTTAAATAATCTTCAAAAAAGATGTATTTCTCCTGCAAATATGTCTTATTTGATTGTTTAGGATTAAACTTGAGAGGTCGCTGGTTAAATTATATCAGATAAATAATTATAACGAAAAATGCAATATTGGTTGGTACATAAAATTGGTGAAAATAGCAACTATAAATTGTAAATAAATTAGGGAATTAACTGGTTTACTCATCATCAATGTTTTGTACAAAGAATTATAAAGCTTACGCTTTGGTTCTACTGATGAGTTCGTACCAGGCTGAAGAGTTGTTCGGTGGTACCGACGCTAGCGTCGCCGTCGCCCGAGGCTCATCACGAGAACCGTCCGGAACTAGATGCGTGTCGATCGATCGTTGTCTGACGAAGAAGTGCCAAATGCGTTGACTTGGTCAGAGCTAAGAATGAACCCTCTAAGCGGTGGTCCGAGAAGGTGTACCAATAAATCATTCCATTGTATTGCGACCTTTCCGATAATTTTAACTAATTGTGACGGTAACACAAAACTTTACACTTGTGTGTATTGAACCATACAAAAGAGAAGCCAAATTCTCCGTATTCACAACATCATAAATGAGATATCCAGTTTAAGTTTTATGAGACAACAGGAAACAATATATTTCAAAAAGGTCTTTTAAAATACAGCACCAAATTAGATCACATTACAGTACCGTAACAGAAAAAATATTAACTGTAAAAATATAAAATGAATTCGCACATACTTTCCCAAACATTGATCTTTATTAAACGCTTGTGTGGAAATCGCTTTTCTCCCCGAATGGTACGAGGCATTCTCTGTCACAACAACAATTTTCTTTAGAAGATTAGGAAGCACCTTTTTCTTAAACCATTGTTCAAATATAGAACCATCCTATTATCATGATATTCCGCTGAGTTTTTTTAGGTAAAAACCAAAAGCAGCACATTCTACAAAGCCCAATTCACTACCCGCATGCACTATAACAAATCAAGTTCTTCCATTCATTGGAAACACTGTGTCTAAAATTCACCCAAGTTTCGTCCAAATAAATGATGGTGTATCCTTGAGAACGAATTTTTTTTTATCTCACGCACATACTGATGTCTCCATTTCAGAATATCGGGCCGGGCTCCATTTCATGGAGTATTCTTCACATTTTTGTGCTTGACATATTTCCTAAATCTTTGTCTTTTTTAACCAGTGCAAACTTTGTTCAATGTCGACTGTAAATTTTTAATGAACTACTGCATCGTAAGTGAACTCTCTGCTGTTCACTTTACTTTTGGTACGTTTTCTTGTTGTTTTTTATGGGCCTTCCGCAGCTTCCTTGCATATTTTAGAAATAGTACCTGAACCTACTACCGTCCTAGCACTTACTTTATCGATTAAACTTCTAACACTTTCATCACATTTTTAGATGATAATTAAATACATTTAACACAATTTGTTTTGCACGGATGTCCAGGATATTCCTTGGCTTAATTTTTGAATTTCCATTTTCAATGAACATTAAACTGTTAAGTCAGAATAACTACTAAACAACCACAAAGCTTTGTTATCATTATCAAGATAATTAGCTTATAATTACCATGATTCTAATGGCATGTTGTATTCTCACCACTTCACTCCCTCAATGTTCCCTACTTTTCATTTCTTGTGTCTGATGGGCACTTCTGGTCAGTTACGTTAGAACATATTCATTTTAATTTATTTTTGTGGAAAAGAAAATGCAAATAGGTACGTGAATAGTGGTTGTACTCGTCGTGGCATCAGCGCTCTTCTATCGTCCATAAGAAATTCGTAGCCCTATCTACGCAGCGCTCCATTCTTATCGTGAAACGCTCTATAGAAAGCGTTATATCCTATAAACTATACAGCAATATTATATCGATATATACGGAGTAGAATATCGAAAGTTGAAAGCGGCAATCCAAAAAATTAATACGCAAAAAAGTATCTTGATATTAAAAAATATATAATTAACGGATTTATCATGATTCAGACATTTGTCTACAATAAAACTATTTTATTTTAGATGAATCAAAATATCTCAAGTACTTTTCGTAAATTTGCTTATCAATCGATTTTTGATACTATACAATATATATAAAAATAGTCGTGAATAAACAAGTGCAGGGTGAGAACGTTTTTAATTTGCTAAAAAATTTAAGATTTTTAATTTAAAACGAAAAAACTGTTGTTTTGAATATGTCTGTGAATTAACTATTTGAATATTCAATCTGAGAAAATTAGGTGATTAAAAATATATTGATATTTCGGTTGGTTTATTTCTTTAAAAGTAGAAATGTCTAAAATATAATATAAAAATATAAATATAAATAAGATATAAACCAAATAGATATATAAAACAAATATTTTACTGGAAATACATAAAGTTATTATATAAAAACTGAATTATATAAGTAAATTCTATTTAACATATTAACATTCAAAATTAAATGTAAGAGCGTCTTTATTTATTTTTTTTCCTTCCTTTGATCATTGCAGTCGTGAACTACGGAATGTAGCTATTGCGTGCGGTCTCATCATTATATTGACTTTAAAAAGTTCGATTAATAAAAGCTGATATTAAAGTCTCAAATTTTTTGTATTTATTGTCGATTCTTTTCTTGCTAGACTCCACTAAACGATTTAAAGCTTTTTTATTTTATATAATTGCTTATCTTCTGTCTTATCACACATACAAAATAGAAATTATTATTTTTTTAATATTGTACGAAAATATCATTCGATTGTAGTTTTAGAGGTTATGTTACGTTAAACATACTATTTATTAATAAAAATAATATTTTTGAAGTGAAGTTTCTATACTGACGTTGTATTACTTTTTTCTCTGTAGTAGCGTCACGAGTAGCGTCACGAAATTGCGGTTCTTCACATCGATTCACTTTTCTCCATCAATTCGTTTTGGGTCAGCATATATGTACTCTAAGCAGGTCTAAATTAAAAACTTCATGAAAAGTAACTAAAAAAATACAGCCATTAAATGAAAAGTAAAAAATCAAAAGAATATCGTCAATAAAATATATAAAACAAACAAAAATAAAAGATTGCTACTAAAATTCGATTCCTAACGATTGTCGAAAGGTCAAAATTTAAAAGTCTTAAATGTCATCCAACTGATAACAATATTGAATCATCTTTTTAAATTTTTATTACAGTTTTAGTGTCATAATATTATAATATAATATATAGTATTATTTTTTTGTAATTTTTTGACTTTGTATCCAAAAGCCTGAGTTAAATAGTTTTTAAGTTTTTATGTGTGCACCAAACGGTACAATTGGTAACGGGTAAATATTTGATCAAATATTTATATATTTTTTTATTTTTTGGGAAATAATAACACAAAAAACTTTTATTAAATATGATTTAATTTAAAACAATTGTGGTCTTTACCAACACAGATGAACATTACATTTTTCACATTTTATATGAGTCCTTATTGCTTTTTGACCTATATTCAAGCCAGGCGTTTGTACAAGCTAAATCGATAGCATGATTAAAAAATGTGTCCACTTGCGACTTCGAATGAAAGTCCGGTAGTTAGTAATAAAAAAATTCATTTTATCAACATCTCCCATATGTTCATTGTAATGCTTTATTACTTCTGGTCGTGGAATGTTGATGTACTCTTTCGCCACCATCCCATATTCTACACTGGTCCACAGTACCCACACTCGTATAGTTTTAGGCCATTACAACCGCCTTGTTGTCAAAACCATTTCATAAGGATGATCTCTCCGTCTTCACTTAGAATTTTCTGGTCACTACCACGGCCTTGTCTTTTCATTTCAAGATCACTTGAAAATGGCAGATTGTTGAATGATGCATAAATGTTCTTACGTCTCAAAGTTTGGAGGAGATTATAATGTGAAAAATAGTTGTCAAAAAATAATCTGACGTTATTTTCTTTTATTCCCTCACACAATTTCAGAACTACTACAGTCCCATGTTTGTAATCTTCTTTCTCTTGGAGATTGAACTCTATAGAAGAACCTTGGTATATCAATTATATCAAGTATATCAATATCAAGTCATACATTCTGCCTCTGGTGCCACATAGCGCACATTTTTCCTCCAAGTACATGGTTTCACCTTGATGTACTGTTTCACGTCTAGACGTCAATTGAAAGAAACCATTTGTTCATCAACGCTTAATGTGTTTTCCAAAAGCCATTGTAATTTTTTTTTTGGATCGAAGAATGTCGTATAGTGTTCGCACCTTCCAAAATCTGTCTGTGCTATTGACCTGCTACTCTTCTACGTTTACAAAATTTAAATGTTGGCGTAATTTGAAGAACCGGTCTCGAGTCATATTGTCTGCTACCATCGGAATAAGCAACTTGTTCTCCCAGTAACACTTTGTGTGGGTAGCTTAAATTTCCCATTATGATGTGTAACCCTACAAACTTTTCTAATTCTGATGTTGTTGGCACAAATCAGGAATGTTGTTGGATTGCATAAAGATGGTGTTTTCTGCCATTATAATAAAAAGTTCTTGAGTAAAATATTGTCTCAATAAATGCTCAGTAAGGCACTCGATCTCTGGGTCAAACCATTTACGTTTGGAGTTGGATAGAGCATATTTTTTCGCAATGATATATTTTGTTGGGGCGTTAGCTCATTTTCTACATAATATTGAGAAGAGTGGCTTCAATACTTTTTGTTTTTTTGAGAGACAGAGGACACGAACTGACGTTCGATTACTTCATTATTTATACGTCCATGACTTCAACATTTAGTACCTCTGAAGAATTTACTTCCTCGTCTTCACTTCCTTGTTCAGGCTGCACTTCATCTAACGTTATGCCAATTGTTTCGTCAGCGCTATCACGAACGTCTAAATATACAAAAATATAATTTACTAACATTACTGATATTGTCTTATAAACATTACTATTTTCTTCTTGAAAATCTGTTTTCCATCCATCGTCCCCATCATCACTAAAAACTTCAATGCCTGATAAGTCGTTTATCAATTCAACAAGTTCGTCGTGCGTCAACAGCTTGTTTCGATTGACTCATTGTTATCTACAAAAAACATGTTTAAAACAAAAATTAACAAAAAGTAAAGCTAGACTTACCTAGTTGAATTTGACCGTTGAAACCCAGTGTACACCACAGTGCACTCGTCTTTAACTGACTCAAATAACAAAACAAAGTCAAAATGCACTAAATAAACACTTTGCACACCATATCTATAATAAAAAAAAATTCTATGCGGTTGGTAAATTCTGTAGTACAACAAAACAATGATTATTTAGAGAACTGCGTTGCTATAAAATAGAAGTCATCCATGTTTTCTGTAACATTTTATTTTATTTTTTTTTTCGCTAGATCACAGCACCTGCTTATGATAAATCTAGGGTATGTTTGTACCCCCACAGGTATATCGAGACTATACAGCAAAATAAAATAAAATTTTTGTTGAGGTGCCTTGAAAATGTTGTACACACTGTAGTGTACCCTGGGACCGAAATCGTTTTTGTCGGAAATCGTGTTAAAACATTGTACCCTGGGACCGAAATCGTTTTTGTCGGAAATCGTGTTAAAACATTGTACCCTTAAAGACTCCCCTTCCACTTCTCGATCTCAGATCGGCCCTAAATTATTTTTCCTTTTACATTTTTTTTTTTAATTTTTACCATTTTCAGAGGGTTTGGTCGTGGTCTATCGATTTCAATATTGTAAAGGAAATATGAATGGAAACGCATCGAGCGACAACTGTGTTTTGCCAATTATTATCTTTTATCTAACGAAATACTGTTATTTTTTAAAACGACGGAAAATAAATTTAAATATTTTATAATTATACCTCTACGCATATAATTACACCTTATAACAACTGACATTGCATAATCGGATAATCCATTACCGTTGTTAGTTGATGTTTGTATTTGAGTCCATCGTAAATGTAGAACACATCATTCGTGCGTAATGGTTTCATATTTTTTATAAATAATATCTATTTAATAAAATTTATATTTAAGAATATTTATTTTTAAACCACAGACAAGAATTACCTCAGAAAGCAGACCTCAGCCGGCTGCTAGAACTTTGCCTAAACCAAGTGTTTTTGAAGACAACGTCACTAAATTCAAAGAAGAAAGTACACCAATTCAATTCTCAACAACTACAAGTTTAAGCAGTCTCACCATTGACGAACAAGAAGATAATATTGAGCAGGTAAGTTCATCATGTTAAATTTTATTTTTATAGTTTTCACGTTATTGTAGTATTATTGAATTCAGTACAATATTGCTTTTAAATAAATAAATTTCTAATATTGTATTTCATGTTATACATTTTTATCGTACAAATTCTATTTTCTAATTCTATTTTATAAGGTCCAAGCAAATCTTTTATGTATTTAACTAAAATAACCACACTATTTGAAGTTTCGATTTCTACCTCGAAAATCTTTCTCGAGAACTTACTACGTAGCATTGTTGTAATGGGTTGGGCTAAGTATTGTGCCTAATAATTTTGATTGAAAGGTTCTTAATCGATTTTTATCGATTTTTATCAATGCTTAAGAATGTTCATATTTCGGTTTCATATTATCTAATTAGTGTCAAAATCACTGTTTTATAGATTTTTTAGCTTAGACTAACGATTTAATATTATTTGTATATATGAATGGTCTTATTACGTTAAGGATTTTTATTTATGTTTATTTTCGTGCTTGACGTTCGTATCATTTAACATAAGACGCGCCATGGGAAATTATCTACCTTGCAGATCTGATTTTGTACATACTATATTTTTCCCCTTCATTAATATTTAGTCCAATTTTAGGTGCTTATAATTTCAGCGCCAGTTTTCTTTTTGCTTAATTAAGACCATTTTTGCTATGAATTATTGTACCCAGATCACCTGCAAATTGAATTGTCTCTTTCATTTGGGTAAAAGGACATGCTGATATCTCGGGTAACATCAAAGCAGATTATTTTGTTAAAGAAGCGGCTTAAAAGGTTTATAAATTAGTTGGATTATTTAGTCTCGCTGCGTAAACAAGAATTAAAAGAAAACTGGGAAATGGAATGGAATGCTTTTTGTAACAGAAGTAACAACCTTTATAAAAAAAATTCACCCTGTTTTACCTACTGCGCCTTTTGCTGCAAGAAGTCATCCCAATAAAAGAGTATATTCAATGTTTGTTAAATGCCTTGTTAATCATGCTACTGTGAAAGTTTATCTTTATAGATTTAATTTAAGTGAAACAGAACTCTGCGATTGTAATGGTAATACTGACGATATCAATCATTGTGTTATGTTATATATTTACCTCCTAGCCGTTGCCTGTCTTGTGTTGTAATAAAGTCGCTATGAAAGGCACCTTAGCGTAAAAAGTATCCCTATAGTAATCTCTTGTTGGTTCCAAATATTCACTTTAAGTTGGTTAGGACCTTAAATGGAACAAATGAAAGTATGGTTTCTTGTAAATCTACTGATTCTTGTGATACTAATGTTTACATTATATTTTTAATTTACCTCTATGCGAAGTACTATTTTGTTAACAAATGAAATAGGTCAATACATCATTAACAAATTCAAGTAGTCAAATACATTATCGTGGCTGAATGGATCAAGTTATCCAAAGCCATTAATTAAATAAAAAAAAAGACCATTTTTGCTATGAATTAATGTATCAAGATCACCTATTGAACCTAAATTGAACAAATAATTATGTATATACATGGCGGTTAAAATATACACACAACCAAACTATTATGGATTCATCTAATATTTCTTATTATTTTAATGTAAAATGTAAGGTAATGAATGTAAAAAAATCAACCTACGAAGTCAAAGAATATTTATTTTAAAGCAATTTAATCACCAATACATAAAAATTAATAAAACCTATAAACTCTTAAATAATAAAATTGAAATTATTTGTTTTAAAGTCAATAGCAGCAGACAAAATTTCAATGTACAAGGAACGGTGTTTAAATTGTTTTTATTTATTTAAATTTTTGTAAGTAGTCAGTGTTACTAACCCTAGGCCTTAGGGACTGCTCCTAAACAAATTGTCAATATTGTATTGTGGTTGTTTTCTTTCTTCTAGATGAACTTGTACTAGCTATACGGTATTTTTTGGATTATCCCGGCAAGGTTTAATTCTTTTTTAAGCATATCCCACAAAGGCTGTATAGGGTTAAGGTCGGGTGAGCAAGCAGGTCACTACAGAATAGCGACATCTTCTGCTTCAATGAAGTCTGTAGTGACTCTGCTGGGATGTTGAGGTGCATTATCATGCATGAAAATGAAATTTTTTCATACTGCACTTTTTCAGAGTCTAACTAGAGGTTCTAGAACCAAATCAACATACCTTCGAGCTATTAAAGTTGGTTGCATGGAAATTAAAGAAGTTTTTTCACCAACCATAATACTTCCCAGTACATAACACTTCTTCCTTTAGGTCTGTGAACAGATCTGGATGTTTCCGTTCTTGCTTGTCTTACTTATTCTCTAAGTACACGAATTCATCAGTCATATGATTTTACACAAATCCTGGTTTCGTCTGAAAATAGCACATTTTGCCAATTTCCATTGTTCCAGTTTTGGTATTGAAGACACAATTTTGCGATCAATCTTGTGCTGCCTGGTTAACTCAGGAATCCGTAACTGTATTGCTGTATAGTAATTGGGTACGAAGTCTTCTTCTTATCGTTTCAACTGAAACACTTACACCTGTACATTTCAAAAACTGCTTTTGGAGTTACGGGTGAGAAATTGTTGGGTCTCTTCTAGCTACTTGGACAATGAAACGGTCGTGGCAAGCCGTTGTTACTTTTTGGCGACTTTATCTTGGTTTATGTCCCTCTGAGACATTCATTGCTCCACAAGACCACTAATTTTTCCCCTTTGCACATCGTAAACTCCACATAAAATTTTTAAATAATAGAGTGGACATATTTAAAAATAAAAGTTTGAATACCTATATTGGCTGTAAGAGAAAGTCTTTCAAAATATAATCTTGAAATGTTCTATTTTTTTTAACGTTTTGAACATATAGTGGTTAAAACTGTTAAGTTCTACATAAACTTCATAGTTATTCAATGCTTTTTATTTTTAGGCCATTGGAATTAAACCGGAAGAGAGAATTGACGAAGAAAAAGTCGAAAATGAGGAGGTAGAGAAAAAAGACGAAGAAAAGGAAACAGCTAATTCTGACATTATTGATGAATTTGTAGTGGAATCAGATGTTGATGAAGACATTTTAGCTGACTGTATTAGTATTGGAATGCAAAATAACAGGTAAATATAAACGGTTTCAAGAAATAAACCCACCATTCGGTGATCCGTGATCACCATCCGGTGATAAACCCACCATTCGGTGATTATTATTTATTCAAACAATCTTTTATTTCCTAATTTCATAATTCAATTATTATAAAGTGTTTCCTTCAACTACCTATCGTCACAATAGTTAAAAAATACCACCGTTTTTCAGCCGCTTTATTTCCTTTAGTGACCATAGAATGAACCGATTCTATCGGTTATCGATCTCAAAGTCTGATAATGTTCCACCTGAGTTCGCCTAAATTTAAAGTTCGTTCATGAATATGATCATAAATTTTCTTGGTCAGTCTTTCTTATACAATTATTCTGTGAAAGTAAAGGAACCTACTTTCTCCTTTATTATCGAGGAACGTATCACTGTTGCCGGTATAAAATACTGTGTTGTTTATTTATCTGATTTGAAAGCATAGCATTCAAATATTAAATTTTGTATTTTCAACGAGTGTAGCCTTTCATCGCCAGTGTTTTGTAATGGTACATTGGATATACAGGATATGGTCTTGATTTAACTTTTTTTCTTAGCTGGGCTATATTAAGAAAACACGTGTATCGTTTAATATCTTGTTTATATACACTGACACTTAAAATAATTTGTAGACACAGTCAGCCAAAATCTATTCCATCTTCAACTCCGACTAAGTTACCAATTTTAAGCTTTAAATATACGCCCAAAGGAGGCCCTAATACTGGAATTCCAATGCCCAGGATTAATTCAAGAGCGCCACAGCCTAATACTTCAAGATTATCCAATTTTGATAATGCAATGGGTATTCCAGGAAATCAGGTAAGGTTATAAATGAAATATCAATGTAGGTCTCTTGTTTTCTTTAAACATCGTTTTTAATTTGAGTTCAGCAATATTTACAATTGTTATTCAATGCTTTTGTTAGGCTTAGTCAGGCATATTTTTACAATGAGTTTACTTGTGTATTACAATTATGTGTAGAGCCATTAATTTCTGTGTTGCTTCAACCATAATGTTTTAATAGCAATTCGGGCCAGACGTTGATATGACCGCATACTTTCTGTTTTCAACTTCTATCTCTAAATCTATCTGTTTTTTTTTTTAATAATTGCACAGATTTTGTCAAAAAATTGTAAAATCTTGTATAATGATATACTAATTTAGATCGTCCTTAGTAAAGCTACACTTTACTTTTTGTTAAGTGGTTAAAATATCGTTCTGAATTATTTCATTCAACATAATTTCCCTTTCCCTGATGTTCTAGTATTTTTCAATCTTGTCTTTCTTTATAAAACAGGCTAAATCCTTCTAGTCCATAAATATATACTAAGTAGCTAGTTTTTAACAATTATATAGTTTAACTGTCTCATAATACAAAACATTTTAGCATTTATCGGTTTAACCACTTATCAGTAAGCATAATTTTAACTCGGGTCGTGCTTTATATTTGGTGATTCTTGCTATTTTTATTGGCGAAAAGGTTTTATTTGTGGTAAGAAAGACGAGCAGTTATCAAAGAAAAAAAATACTTTATTTATCTTTATTATAGGCAGATACCGTACGGATGTATTGCACTGAAGACACGCCAGTAAGATTGAGCAATGCTGCATCGAATTCAGACCTAAGTTTGTTATCAGTTTCAAATGGAAAAGAAGGTTCTAGAAGGGGAGATTATTTATCTGATGACAGCAGTAATTTATCAGGTAAATTCATTATTCAGTCTCTTAACATAGGCAATGGAATGTTTTTGTTAATGTTTGCAATTATAATTTTATATTAGTTTATTTTAGAGAACATTATGTTTAAATAATTTCTAGTTTTTAGTTACATACTTTTACACATCGTTTTTAGTCTGGTCTTTATCATTTTGGCGTTCATATATTTATCAGTTATCGTAATATCGACTTCATGAGTAGATATTTACGATGTTCGTACATTAATGTTTATATCTTCTATTCATTTTCACACATTCTGATAGCGGAACATCGATGGTTACGACAATGTAGTCGCAACCACCTTCGACACATGGGAGTCTTGTGGAGATCTGCATCAACCCCTATTACCTTGGACCTTTGCCGATATGATCGTAGACTCAAACATCATAAAAAACATCGTAATCATAAACAGTGGACTCAAACTATAGATCTTACCTAGTACAAAAATAAGTGCAGAAGATTCGGCCTCATTAAGATCGGCCTCGATTATATTTTTTTCTGGAATCAAGCGCATGAATATTCAGGTACTGACTAATAGGCATTTGGAAATAAAGATATCAGGGAAAGATATATTTATTTCCCTCCCTTCAGACCAGGTTAGATAGATATCATAAAGATATCCATTTAACTTTTGGATTCGGATGTGGATAAAAGGTATGAAGACACCATTTTAGTGTTAGATACAAATTATAGCGACATAAAATGTACATAATTTACTGCTGAAGTAGCAAAATCGCAGTATCCTAATAATTGATACAACGATATATATCGACTTAGTCGATACTAACGACTTTATGTGCTATTGGTTTTCAAAAAACGAGAATAACTAACCCAAAAAATCCACATTCGTTTCCTGTATCATACATTATTTAGAGAAGAATTCCAAAATGCAAGTCGTTATTTATTGTGGTGAATGCTCTTATCAAAATCATGTTAACGTCCTAGCCAACATTTTACTAAACTTTACTAAACTACTTTTACCATATGAAAGCCGATATGTAATTAAGATATAATCAGTGGGGCGTTAATATTTAATTTCGATCACTTGAAAAGTAAAAATATTTAATTTCCTGTATTTTATGTTCAGTAATAATATTGGATTTTACTGTATTAAAGCCAAATAAAATGAATATAATATGTATATACAGAGCGGTTAAAAGAAGTGGGACGGAATATTTCGATTAATCGAAATTATTTGTCGACATCAAATGTTCATCAAGGTCTCTTCTTCTTCTTCTTCAAGTTCCACTCCTATCGGAGATTGGAAATCATTCTGGCAATGCAACTGCATCCAAACCACTCACGGAGATTGCGTAGCCACGAGATTTTACGTCTTCCTACGCTTCTTCTACCTTTGATTTTACCCTGCATTATATTCCTTAGTAGTTCGTACTTTTCACCTCTCATGATGTGCCCCAAGTATTCCAATTTCCTGATCTTTATGGAATTTAAAACTTCGCATTGTTTTCCTAGTTGTTCGAGAACTTGTTCGTTTGTTTTGCGATCCATCCATGATATTTTCAAAATGCGTCGGTAACACCACATTTCGAATGCTTCTAGGTTTTTAATGTTGGATTTTTTAAGTGTCCAAGCTTCAACTCCATACAAAAGGGTAGAGAAAATATAAAATCGAAGCATTCTTATCCGGAGCGATATATTGATATCGCGATTACAAAAAAGTTTTCTCATTCTATTAAAAGTTGACCGCGCAATTTCAATGCGGCATCTTATTTCTTTTGTCTGATCAGTATCTTCTGTGATCCATGCTCCAAGGTATTTGTACGAAGATATTTGTTCAATTTCTGTATTATCTAGTACTAGCTTAACTTTGATGTTTTGTGCTTTTGTAAATACCATGAACTTGGTTTTCTTCAAATTGATTTTTAGTCCAAAATCGTTGCAGTATATATTTAGTTGTTCAGCAAGGTGTTGCAGTTCTTCTAGTGTTCCTGCCAAAAGGACGGTGTCGTCAGCATATCTTATGTTATTAAGTGGCTCACCGTTTATTATAAGGCCCTCACTGATCTCGGCAAGCGCTAATTCTGAGATGGCTTCACTGTATAAATTGAATAACAAGGGTGATAAAATACACCCTTGGCGGACCCCACGGCGAATCTGGATATCCTTGGTCAGTTCGTTTTCAACTTTCACTTTTGCTGTTTGATTCCAATAGAGGTTACAGATGATTCTAATGTCTCTACTGTCTATGTTTTTATTTAATAAAATTTCTTTAAGTCGATTATGCTGCACTCTGTCAAATGCCTTCTCAAAATCAATGAAACAGGCATATACTTCCTGATTAATATCTAAGCATCTCTGCGAAAGAACACTTACTGCAAACAGTGCATCTCGTGTTCCCAGTCCTTTCCTAAATCCCATTTGTGTATTACTTATGCCTTCATCTAATTTCTTATGTATTCTATTGTGAATTACTTTTAAAAACAATTTCAAGACATGACTCATTAAGGCTATGGTGCGATGTTCATTGCACTCCTTTGCATTGGCTTTTTTGGGAAGCAGTATGAATGTTGATTGGAGCCATTCTTTAGGTATTATACCTGTTCTATATATGGTATTGAATAGATCCAAAAGAAGATCAATAGATTCAGTATTCACAATTTTAAGTAATTCGATAGAAACTTCATCAGGCCCGGGAGATTTACCATCTTTAGCTTGTTTCATTGCATATTCAATTTCTTCTCGTATAATGTCAGGCCCAGTATCATCCTTAAATTCTTTTGGTGCTCCTGTTCTCTCTGTGTCTTCAAATAGTTGTGCTATACATTGTGTCCATCTCTGCATTTTTTGGTTTATATCTGTTATAAGTGCACCCCTTTCATCTCTTAGTTGCCTAGTTTGAAGTGTTTTTCTCATTCCTGTTAATTCTCTAATTCTTTTATGCATGTTAAAAAAGTCATATTTTCAAGGTCTCTATAAGTCTCTATTTTGCGTAGAGTAAAAATTATACGAATGGTTTTGCATGCAGTTTAATTGTAAAATACTTGCCAAGTTGCTGGTATGTCCAAATTTGAATAAAATACATCCAAGACTTTACTTTCTGCAGACACTGTATATCTTTGAAACAAATTGGCACTAAATCACTTCCGAGTTTTCAGCAAAACAAAATGTTTAAACACGTGTAGTCCAGTAATCAATACCAAGGCTATTGAGAGTATGCAGTCCAGTAGTTAGACCAAAGGTACTTTATCAATTAACTAAAACACACCACAAAGTTTGAATTAAATTCCCGAAACACTTTTTTGTTTCTTCTTTTAGCAAACGATTTGTCCTATTCACTGTCTGATATTTCACTAGCAGAGTCGTCACTATCTGAATTGTCTATCCGAATAATTAGAGGCCGGACCTCATTTATAACTCGCTCGGTTTGAAAAGACTGAACGATTTTGTCTTCCGTATGTCTAATACAATTTTGAAATTGTTCTGACTTTATTTGTTCTAGCGATTCTTTCCATAAACCAAGAACGCTAGCATCATCTTTTGTTTTGGATGCATGTTTATCAAAAAATTTTTGGCTATACCCCAAATTAACTCAATTGCATTATAGTGGCAATGGTAGGAAGAGCTTCATGGCCATATTTAAGAGCCATTTGGTCAGTTCCTTTGGATTTTGTGCTCTCCACACCTTTGAAGTAAATCGACTAAAGAAAACGACGGAAATCGTTCTTGATTTCGAAGTGGAAATTGAAACGTCAATAAACGTATTTTTATCTTTAATTGTGGCTTATTCCCAGTTAAATAGTAATTAATTTAAAATGCCACAAGAAAATAGCTTCAGAACAATACGTAAGAAGAAATTAAAAAAAAATTAACATTCCAATAAAATTATAAACTAATAAACGATAACTTGTTGAGCAGTGCTGATTGAAACCACAGATCAGTAAAATGTTATTCATAAAGGTAGTGTAAAATATATCGCCGCTTATTTGGTCCGCTAGCAATAAAGTTACTAACATTTAATTGCAAAGTGGTCTTCCAAAGTTCCAAAAATATCTTGAGCCACGTGACTCTTAAATAGAGTGTGCTTCGGTATATAGTGCGATAGAAAGAAGTCTTAAAAATAAAGAAATCCATTTATCCAGAGGCTAAGCTCTACCATTACAGTTCAAATAAGGAAATAAGTTATAATATAAAGGCCATATAAAGTATAAACATTGGACTATACGTTTTTTTAAATAATATTCATCCTCCAACCACATGCGGTATTCCTCAATCCAACCAGAAAAAGAAAAACGTATGACCCAACCCAATTTTACCTAAAGATACGCATTGATTTTATAATAGCCTTTTACACAGACAGATCTTTTTATTTTGTTTGTTGTACTTCGAAGTTTAAATTTTTTGTTTCATGTGTTTTATCCTACTGTGAGTAATTGTGTGACGCATTAATGCTCAATTCTCTTAAACAATAATAACTCCTAAGTTTATATCTCCTATGAATCACGTTACTTCAAGCAATACCTCCTATCTAGCTTATCAAAACTAAATTCAATTAATTACCAAATATTTTTCATAGTAAATAAATGTCGCTTCTACACCCATCATAAAATGTAAACAAACAATTGAAAGATATTGAAATTTTAAACTTATAAAGTTTTTTGTCTCTTCTGAAAAGTTAGAGTGAAGTCAAATAGGAGATTTGCCAGGTCAACGACGATATATTCATTGTCTTTAGAAAAAAAATATATTCAACAGTACGTTGCATTTCGGAACAGAGATATTAAACCAATGTTTCCAATGAAATATTACATATTTGTTTAAGTGAAATAATTCACATATACTCATATCGTATACTCATTAATTAACTGGATTGATGATGCAAGTCTTGACATAAATAAAACTTTTATTCTAATCGTGTTCAGATATCAAATGTTCATGTCAAATGTATATTTTTGATCTTTCAGGTGAAAACGACAACATTCTTGCCGAATGCATCCAATCAGGCATGCCGAAAGCCAAAAAAGAAACGAAAATTCCTTCCAATAACAAACCGTCAATACCATCTTCACTACCCCGACGTAATATTCCGTCTGGCGCGTCCGCCAAATTCTCTCCCGTCCCACTTGCTGGAAATTCGAGAAGAAGTGAAGCCCCAAAGATGCACCCCGCGGATTTAAATAGAAGGGATAATTCTCTACCAGTGTATCTAAATGCGGCGAGAGACGAGGTAGAAAATTACGCAGTGGAAAATAGTCCTTGTCATTTTTCGTTAAGAAGTAGTTTGAGCGATCTGACAGTGGACGGAAGTGTAGCTGCATTAAAAAGGTATGTATCGATTTATTAGATCAATTTTCACACATAACAAATATTTAGTAGATTAATGTAATCATTTTTTAAATGTTTTACTATGTAATTAGATAATTATTAATAATATAGGTTCAATCAACATCCCAAAACAAAATATACTTACTCTTAAAGAACTAATTAATAATCAAAAATGTTTATTTTGTTGACAACTAAACATTGGGACACAGAACGGAGTAGCATTGCATTTAGACTTTATGGTCGCTCGAATTCGGTTGACTATTTACTCTACTAAGAATTCGGAGTGTTCAGAGGTAAATTAATTGTAAATCGGCTCTATTTTGGCTTTAAGTTCATGTAATGTCGGTTGTGGGTTATTCGTTAGTGGCTGTTTCATTTTATGCTATACTGTTTCAATGAAATTTGGGTCAGGACTGTTAAAATCCAGACAGGTCGTTTATATTGTAGTTTCCAACCCAGTTTTTTTTGTGGTTCTGATCATATAACAGTCCGCTTCGTCCTGCTGAAAAATGTAATTCCCGCCATCATGTAATTTCACAATACTTGATAGTTTTTGAGGTATTTGTTGATATTTCGCAGATTTTAGGTTCCCTCAATAAATTAGAAAATAGTTTAACCATAAAAATGCCATACAAGCCCAAATCATCACTCATTTAGGACATTTTACGGTCAGTTTCAAACGGTCTTAGAGTAAAGCCCCATTGTTAGTGTGAATAACTCGTTTACGGTAATCAGCACACGTCTAATTTTGATTCTTCATTAAAAATTACACGGTACCGATCTTCTACCGACCAAAAAAGTCTAGATTTTGCCCAAATGCCTCTGGCTGGCTTTTGTTTTTCTATTAAAAGTGGCTTTTCTTTTGCCTAGAAGAAAATATGTTAAAATATATTAAACTACAGTACACTTGTACATTTTTACCTGTAATTTAACCATATAAAACTTTAATCTAGATTTATGTTTTCACTTGCGACAGCATTCCCTTGATAGATTTAATACAGTTTCATGATTTTATTCAGAAGCCAGTAGTATTAGTAGTGTTTCAGAAACTAGTTTTGAACGGCTCGGTCTTTTACCTTTTTTATCTAAGATACTTCATGTTTCTCCATAATGCTTAATTAAATTTCACAATGTAGTTTTAGAATATTAATTTCGTCCGTCGCTTCAAAGAATTGTTTTATTGCGGCAATAATTTTACATCGCGAATTCACGATTTTTTTAATTTTTAGAGATATTAGGCACCATTTTATTGAAATCATACAGTTATTCACTCAATTTGACAAGAAATTAATTTTAGAATATAATTTGACGTTTATTAGAGTGCTCGGCTGCATTTCTTTCGCTGCCTAATGGTCTTATCTTGTGTGGTTTTTCGTCGTTACTTCATACTGTCCCATTATTTAGTTGTCACTTATTTGTACATATTTTGATGATCCTTATGTCATTAATAAGTTATGTGGGTTGCATAAAACAATATTAATTACGTTTTATGATGGTATATCATTTATAATATTGCTTATTTAGCATTATTATCAAAACTGTTTAAAAAATAACAAATTAACAATCAAACACCTGAATTTGTAATATATTTTAATTTGTCCCAGCATATACTTGTTAGGGCTCGTATCTCAAGATATCAAGTCGTTATAAATATACTTATTCAAAATACTGGCATATTTTTTGGAAAACTGTGCAATTCATTCCTTACAATTATTTACCTTGAATCAATAGATCCTTTCATTTCATTGCAACAGGTGGGACATTTGTATATGCAATTTCAAGTCTAATAATCAGTTTTAAAAGACAATATTTAATAATTTAAATTTACATCATGTTTTTCTTAGGTCATATGAAAAAATAATGCATAATTTTATTTGATGCTGCTCTAAATAGTCCTGTGATGGATAACCCATCATGTTGCAAACTAGGTTCTTATGTTCTTTAGGCAAGGATACTCATCTTCTACCGACGCCTCTCTTACCCGGAACCCTTGCAAAACGTATTTTAATAATTTATATTTGGTTTTCATTCCTCATTATGTGACCCATATATTCCAATTTTTTAAGTTTTTGAACTACTCTTATGTTTGATATTTAGTGCATCCATAAAATTTTAAGAATTCTTCTATAAGTCTACATCCTGAATGCTTTCAGCCTCTTTATTTTTACCTGAGTCTATGTCCAAGATACTAATTTATATTATAACAAGATGAAAAATATATAGCATCGTAGCATTCTGAATTTCAATTCCAAATTCAAATTAAGTGTTTTAAATAATTTGGCAATTGGATGAAACTGGCGTTTTCAATTATTGATTTTATTTCCTGGAAATGGTCCCACTGTTTATTTAACACTATACACCAGATATGTTTATGTTAATACTCGTTCTACCACTTTTGTACTACTTCAATTCTTGCTTTGATAATTATCGTAACTTTTTTTAGTGGTTATTTATATTTACTATTTATCCAGTATATATTTATATTTAATAGGTTATATTTCTTACTAATTTCAGCTACTCTATTCATTAAAAGCTGTATGTATTCCTTTAGCAGTGTCGGCCAACATGGCGGTGTCATCGGCCATCAGCATATCTGAAATTGTTTACTCGTTCGCCAGTTAATAGCGTTTCTGCTTCCTTGTGTTTTAGGTCTTTTTTGTCAGTATATACTAAATTCTGATCTCACTGGGTATCCCACTTTCCTTTTCTGGGTATTTTTCGAAGATCGAAAAGTGAAGATCGGAAAGTTTGATATCTCTGTGTTAACTTCATCTGGACCACAAGCTTTTCCATCTTTAAGGGATATTATTGTTGTTTCCACTTCTTCTAAAGGGATGTCCTGTGTTCGTTATTTGTTGTTCTGCTCTTAAATCTGAGAACAATTCTTTTTGGGCAGTTCCCATATTAATTCTATTTGTCCGATATTCACAATTATTTCCCTTGGGTCATTTTTGATTTTTGCTATTGATTTCTTCTTGAATTTTCCCGTTATTTTTTTGACCTTGTAAACGCCAAATGTGTCGTATTTTTTATTATATTTCGATGTCTCTGCATTTAGCTCCGAATTCTTATCGTTTTGATCTCTGATTTTTGAACTTGGCCATTAATAGACGTATATCTGTGCATATCATTATGTATTTTGCACTTTCGTTTTTCTTTCATTAATTGGATCCCATCAGTCATCCAGGATTTCTTCTTGTCTGTACTTTATGTCAGTACTTTTTTCTTTACAGTTTCTGTGATTTCCACTATTATCAATTTTTCTTCTGAGCTGTTTTACATATCAAATAAAGCCTTACTGAGCCTTTCCACGTTTTGAATTCTGACCTCTGGATCTGCTGGGTATACGAGTTGAGAATCTCGGTACAATAAAATACTTAGAGCAAAAGACATTTATTTTATTGGTGAATCATAAGTTTTAATCATCACTACTACAAGTTACCAATCGATTTAGTAAAACCTGATAAGGATTTCTTTAATTACGTTTACAAAGAGATGAAAAAAACTGTCGTGATAACACTTCTAGTAGAATATTAGAATCGGAACAATTTAAAAATTTGAATATTCTTTTGAATATCTTAATTTGAATCTTGATAACCAATTACTTGCATGTATGTCAATTAACTATACAGCTCCATTTTTGAGACATCTATGATCGTAAGTTAAAACGTTTAATAATAATAGTTTATAAAGGCCCTTTGGTAAAATAGCAGCTAGTAGTTAGAATATATCTTTTTCTTAACTAACATTCTTATCTCTTTTTATAGGAATGGTGGAAATCAGTGTGAAGGACCTTCATGTAAATCTGCAAACCAGGACTCAGAAACAGGTAAGAAAAAGTAATATAACTAAAAACTAGGATTTAAACAAATAATGAACATGTCACAAACTAAATTTTCTTTTACAATTAATTCTAATTCACATTTTAAACTCAAATTCTTTAAACTAGTTATAAAAGCATCAATAGTTTCACCATCTTTCTGTACTCTATTAAGAAAATAATGTCTTTCTACTGTTAAATTTTTCTTCAGGTTACAATATTTTTCAAATCTCTCTACTAATTCTTTAATTTTAATAGTATCTATGTTAACCTCAAATGACTTGCAAACATTTATTGCATTTCAATACAGTATAATAGTAGAGCTATCTTTCTCGTATCAAGAACGAAAATCAGAGAAGCGAAAGAAAAAGAAGCAAGGGAAAGAAGCAAAGAGAAAGGCGAAGAAATTGAGACTCAGCAGTCAAAGTACGATAGTCACAATGTACATGGGGAAGTTAAAGAACTCACAGGAGGACTAAGATGAAAGCAGAAAGGAAATATAACTGATTCTGGCGGAAACATCATATTGGACAAGCATGAAGAGGTCCTCAGAAGAATAAATAAGAACTGAGAGGTACTGACCACCATCAAATCTCGAAAGTTACAATTCTTCTGACATATGCGAAATAAATCCAGATATGCTCTCCTTCAAGCAATCCTGCAAAGAAAAATATTTCGAAAACGAGGTCCAGAAAGAAGAAGAACATATTGGTTAAATAACCTCGGAATCTGGTTCAATAAAACATCTGTGCAGCTTTTCCGCGTTGCTGCAGATAAGATAAAGATTGCTATGATGATCGCCAACATTCGTAACTGATAGGCACATCAAGAAAAAGAAGAAGTTTCTGTATAATATTATTTATTAAAGAAAAACTAATAATTACATCTAAAGAACCATAAGACAAGTGTCTGTAGGCTGTCTAGGTATGTCGCTATCTTTTTACTTCCGGGCTTCCTCTATTTCATATGTCACTAATGTTAAGATAGGTTTACAACTTAACACAACATAACAGGTGAGCCCTAGGTATGTCGCTATCTTTTTACTTCCGGGCTTCCTCTATTTCATATGTCACTAATGTTAAGATAGGTTTACAACTTAACACAACATAACAGGTGAGCCAGATGGTTTGAACCTCTTGAGTCTTTTACTTTCTTCTGGTAAGTTTATTTATCAACACGTTCATCCACCCCAACATTCCATCCCATACCTAATTGATCCTCCGAAGAAACTGTAGGAATAAAATTAAACTTAATTTTATTCTCTTGGACATTGATATACTCTTTCTCTTGCATAAATTGAGCTTACGCAGAATTTTCCGCATAGTTTCATCTGTAAACAAAACCTTCTCCTCTTCATTTCAATTTTGATATTCTCTACCTAAAGCGTAGAGCTGCTATTGATGGCGGCTTTGATGTTTTATGGGTTTATTTCACCAGTATGACTACAAACCAGCTTCTTTGAATATTCTTCTAGTTGTACACTCCCTAGTTGTATGGTTCCCCAAACTTTTATTTCGTCTCATTCTAACGGCTATTTGACGTCTGTTTTGGAGTCTTGCAACACTATAAACTTTAGATCAACTTATAACCTATTCTCCAGTTTCTCTCGAAAGTGTAACATTATAGTGCATCGTCAACTTTGATTTCACAAAAATGTTGCCAACATCACTAAAATCGATCCCTTTTGATCAGCTAGTCGGAACAATAAACAAAATCAAACGTTTACCAAAGAAAAAACTACGAACTTTATTGGATACAAAAAAAGTCGCTTCAAAAGGAACACTACAAATAACTTTTGTTGATACTTTTGATTTCAACATTGACCTTAAGTAACTTGATTAAAATGTACAAACGTAAAAATAGTAGTATTAGGATCTTCCTAGTAGTATTCATCTACCTAACACTATTAGTAAAACATTATTCATTTCGTAAAATTTTACTCTGTTCCTTTTTAATTTGCCGGTATGTCAGACTTTTAGTACAAAAATATTAATTTAAATATGATTGTTAAAAAGTAATAAAGTATAATAAAATTTAGGCATTAATCCTTATAACTGTTTCTTACTTTGTCGTTTATTATATTAAGATCTGTATAATATATTCAAGAACAAAAAACTGTTTATAATAGTTTAAATTTAAATTTTAAAACTTTAAAGTATCTATACCTGAATTATATTTTAGGTAATGTCACCACTTCTCACGAACACAATGTCAGCCAACAGTCCAGAAGAGAATCCCTATCTTCCATTAGTGTAGAATCTTTGGGCTCTCTAGAAGCTGAACAAGCTCTTCTAGCACAATGTATTTCTTCAGGAATGCCTAAAAGTCACTCAGAAACCAGATCTAAGCCCTTGGATATACCCAATTCTAGGTATGTATTGTTCAGAATAAATAAAATTGTTTCAATAATATACATTTCTTACATTACTTTACCAAAACAGTTTATTTTTTAAATTTAAAAAGGTAAATTTTAAAGTTATGAATTCACTGGTTTACACGCACGGCCACGGTATAAAAATTAAAAGCTAAAACAACCGAGAAAATGTTAGTTGTTTAATAATTTAGAAATGCATAAACGTGATACAGCACTTTTTTAAATACAATATTACATTTTTACAAATATTAAGTTTATTATTAATTTTCAATTAGGAACAGAAAGGATATTTAATTTAAAAAGTGTAATGACTTCCCGTATACAGGCTCTACATCGTTCCAGCAATAAATACCGAATATTTTGAAAAATCAAATGTCTCTGTCGAAATGCGTTAGCAGCCTCTAAAGTTGGATCCCTTAATTGTTCTGCACTATTTATTTTCGCGAATAAACACAATCTTTCATGCATTCCTAAAAACAAAAATCCATTGGATTAAGATCTGGATCGCACTGTGCCCATTCAATTGGTACTTCCCAATTGAATGAGTCCCCTTCCTATCCAACGTTCTGGATATTGTTGAAATAAAAATACACTAAGCTTGTCGCTATAATGGCGTAGAGCACCGTCTTGCAAAAACAAAACACTTTGTCTGATCCCTAACGATACATTTTGTAAGTAAAGACAGATCGTTTTCGTAAAAATGATAAATAATTTTCTCCGTTTAAATTATTGGGAAGAAATCTGACAATTCTAGGCCAAACGTATACTTTAAAATTACTCTGATGGTGACGAACTTCACAGTTTCATCATTAGGACTGACATCGGTCCAGACATGTGACTCCATTTCTTGTAAAGGTTGCTTCGTTAATGAATAATTTTTATAAAGGTTACGTCTGATTTCTTCTAAAAGACAATCATAAAATCCTATACGTTTAGGATGGTCTTATGGAAGTAATTCTAGAACTACCGTTACATGGAAAGGCTGAAATAACTGTCACGTTTCATACGACACACCCCTAATTCAGCAGCTATTACCCTAATGGTTATTTCCGGTTGCTCCTTAATACAGTCTAGAATAGCATTATCATTTGCACGGTTTTTGCAATGGCGGTCTATTGCTAAGAATATGCGCCTATCCGTTAATTTCTATTAGGTACTTATCTGCATAACACCTTGTTGCCGCAGCATTATTCCCTTGACATTCACTTAAGTAAAAAAATGAAGAAACTGTATTTACAATTAACATTTCTGTAGATGTTTTTAGTTGCAGATTCATAACTACTAAGACAAACCTTTGTTGCAAAACAGCAAGTTGCCTACTCGAATAATAAACTTGATATTTGTGAAAATTAATATTGTATTATTTTATCTTGATATTTAAAAATATGTGAGTGTTTTCTAAACTAAATAATAGTTTTACAAACAAATACTAACAGACAAAAAAGCTGTAAAACAGGTATTTAATTGTATTGACGTCAGGTTTTTAATCCAATATTATACTAAAAAAAGTTAGGGAGAAAAGGTTTTTTAACCCCTCCCAAATATCCGGAGAAATCGAGAAAAAAATATTTTCGCTCCTTCGGTTTTATTGGCTATGGCATGCTAACACATAAAATGCTAAATTTTTATAAAAAAATTTTGAACCGTTTTGGAGCTTCATGGAGTTTCATTCAATAGATTCCGAACACGTTAACACCACAGGTCCAGACATAATTACAACCAATAATTTATCAACATTACTACCCGCATATCTCTCTAAGTCAAACTGTGCAACATACACCATCGCAAAGTTCTCAGATACAGCATTCCATTGATTGCAATAATGAAGAGAGAGGGGAAACAACCGATGATAAAACGCAATGGCACCTAACCCCAATCCGGAAGAAAAAACGAAGTCTAGAACATCCAATAAGAAAGTTACTTCAAAAAAACTTATCTGATTTCGTTCAGAAAACAAATCTACTAAACCGATTCCAAGCACTTAACGAAGAGAACTTGGAAATTGACTAGATCAACAACAAAAGTAATGACACAGACAATAAACCGAAGTAATGACAGAGTGGTAAAGACAGTGATCGTACCACGTGACGTGCCCATCTTATTCGGTTTGCCTTGATATGTCTAACTATGTTTTCAGATCCATACAGAGTCACCAATTCAGCATTGCAGCGTCTTCTCCGATCCCCTGTGAATTCATCTCTTTGAGGGCCAAATATTATTCTGAGAACCTTTCTCTCAAATACTAGAAGCTTATTGATTTCCCGCTGGTTGAGAATCCATGTTTCACCGCCCAATCATTACATATGTAATGATTGGGCGAATAATCGACTTGTACAGTGTTAATTTAGATTTTCTTTTTAGCAGCTTCGATCTAATAATGTTAAAAGGGAGTATAATGCTCTATTTCCCGCAGTTATCTTTGCTGAGACCTCTTTTTCTATGTGGTTGTTAGCTGTGATATCGTCCCCAGGTATTTAAACTCCTTTACTACTTCGAAGTTGTGATCATTAATACTGATGTTCTACCTAACTCTGGGTCTTGGATTTTTTGTTATTACCATATATTTCGTCTTTTCTTCATTTATTCGGAGACTCAGACTACCTGTTTCCTCCTCGAGCTGTGAAAACACCTCTCTCACGTCTCTTGTAGAATGCATGACTGCATCTATATCATCACAAAGACCAGCAACAGTTTTGATCCTTCATCAGCAATTCCTCATGTCAGCTCAGACGATATTTTACTTATTGCATATTCTAAAGCAACATGGTACAGCAACGATGACAAGGGGTCCCCCTGCCTAAGTCCTAAATTTATACCAAATAGCATCGATGTTCTGCTTTCTATCTTTACTTGCGCATATGAGTCTGTCACGCACATTTGCGTTAATTAAACTAATTTTCTTGGTATTCCCATGACTAATTCTATGAAAATTTCTTGCACATTGCGGTAGAATTCTCAATGTCAATTTTATGGTCACATAAAATCCTTTTGTAACAGACTTCCTCGATATGTCAGATGTGATCAGGGTCATCTTTCTAAAGATTATATGAAAGATAGACAAACCCCAGCAACTTGCGCACTGTGTAAAGGAAATGATTCTGCAAATTACAAGGGGTGCAATGTCTACTAATAGCTCCAAAAACGCAAATTTCGAGCCCTAAGAGAAAAACCGAAAATGGATTAAAAATAGATGGAGAATATCTTAACCATTTGCGTTTTGCAGACGACATAGTACTAATAAGCACAGATATCTATGAACTAAAATCAATGCTACAAGATTTAAATCACAAATCGAATCAAATAGGATTAAAAATGAATCTCGACAAAACATTAAGCACAAGATAAGCAACATTAAACAAGATATTAAGCAACAGCCTAGAAAACATCACGATAGATAACATCAATATAGAAAAGGCAGAACAATATATATATATATATATATATATATATATATATATATATATATATATATATATATATATATATATCTAGGACATGCAATTAAAAACGAAAAGGAAAATCAAACCCTAGAAATTAAAAGGACACAATTATCATGGGCTGCTTTTGGTAAGTTGAGCTTCATTTTAAAAGACAGAAAAATCCCAATTCACTTAAAACGAAAAACCTATGACACTTGTATACTACCAGTTGCAACTTATGGATTGGAAACTATGGCAATAACAAGAAAAATGGCAGAACAATCAAGAGTAACTCAACGGGCCATGGAGAGGGCCATGTTAAATATAAGCCTCAGAGACAAAATTCCTAACACCGAAATACGTCGAAGAACTAAAGTAACCGACATCATGGGAAAAATAGCGACATTGAGGTGGCAATGGGTAGCACATGTAGCAAGACAAGACACCAACAGCTGGTCTCATAAAGTGACATTCTGGAGACCTCGAGAAACAAAAAGAAGCGTGGGAAAACCTAAAAAGAGATGGATAGACGATATAACTGCTGTAGCTGGAAAGCAGTGGATTCTAATTGCAAAAGATAGGGAAGCGTGGAAGCAATTGGAGAAGGCCTATGTCCAACATTGGATAAATGAAGGCTGAAGAAGAAGAAGAAGAGAAAAACAACCACTTGCCAATAGACAACACCAACTATGACAACAAAATTTAACATACACACAGGTAACTCAGATAATATCAGCATCTCAACAACCTACAACACAAAACATGCAGATTCAAACTACGCAGATTCAGCCAAATAATCAGACTGGTATATATACAATTATAAATAAATTAAAAAACATTATTATTAAATTATCAGATAGATTAGACGATTTATCAAGAATCATTTAAATGGCTATTATACTTAACCTAGCAACATGTAATGCCAACGGTATGGCTCAACACAGCTAAGAGTTAAACATATTTTTAATTGCAAATATAATTGATATACTGCTTATTTCCGAAACGCATTTTACAGGTAAAAGTTACTGGAAAATGCCAAACTATAAATTATATACCACAAATCATCCAGATGATACTGCACACGGAGGTTCTGCCATAATGATCAAAAGCAGTATAAAACATTAAGAACTACAGGCAACTAAAATACCGCACGTGCGGGTCACAAACATAGTAATTGAAGACTGGAGTAGGCCAATCACTATATTATCATTATCCCAAGCACACAATAAAAACAAATCAATTTGCTGAATTTTTTAAATCATTTGGATCAAGGTTCATAGCCGGTGGTGATTACAATGTGAAACATCCTTTTTGAGGCTTTAGATTACTACTAGAACTACTTGTTTTGTGACGTCCTCTCGTAGGAGTCACTATCCGGGTAGCTTTTGGACAGTCAGAGACAGAGTTTAAAATAAAAATAAAACTTTATTGTCTTCCTTAAATTAAATTGACAAAAATCTTATGTACATATTTACAATTTAGTTTAGTCTTCTCAGTACCTGGCCTATTTATTCAAATTAAGTTTGACCTTGTCGTATGAAATTAGTGTTATCGGCAATCAAGTGTGTTTTCGGAATT